TTGCCATTCATATGATCGTGCTCTTCGCAGCCAGAGTTTTCGGTTGCTGCAGAATTCAAATTCATTGGTCATTTTTAAATTTTTTATGTAAGTGATCAAAATTGATAAATGATCTCGATTGTACACTTGCTCTCTTTATGCCTCTCTTTGTTTTTAACATTAGTGATGGTAATGGTAATCTTCATGGCTACAATGGACTACAGTGGACTACAGTGGACTACAGTGGACTACAGTGGACTACAGTGGACTACAGTGGACTACAGTGAACTACAGTGGACTACAGTCGAAATAAACTTGAACTGGGACATATAAAAAGATATAGATTTCAAACTCTGATAGCCGCTGAGATCGACGCTTTCTTATATACGAATAGACGCACGGATATACAAACGCACAAGGATAGATCGACTCAGATCGCCCTTCTGGTAAGAAAACATATATACTTTATCGCCTGAAATATCAAGAAGCCAGCTCAAGCCTGACTGCTTACAGATTGTGATTCATTAACATTAAATATTAAGGCCTTTCCGAACTGTTGCAATATTTAACTCAGCCATTAAAAACGAAAAATCAGATTTCAACTCTAAATTTCTATTTTCAGTTTCGATGTCAAAGAACTGTCCTAGGCGCACAGTAGGATGAACAAGGAGCTGAGGAATAATTTCACTTTGGTTTCAATAATTTACTTACAAAATTTGAAGTCTGTCCTCGATGATTTTATTTTAAAACAAAAATTATATTAAATAATTGTAAAAATTATTTCAGCTGGAATCAAAAATCGCCACAACAAGCAAACGCAATTTCTGTTATCGTGGCCAAGAGCAAGTTTATATACAATTTATGAAGGCATCTTAAACAAAGTAAACTCTTGACTTTGGCTGCAATATGTACCTGCAGCTTATGCATATTGAGCGCAGCTCTAACTATCTCTATCTAGCTGCTTCAATCTGGCAGCCAAAACAATATTCAGCGAAAACTTGGCCACAGCACAACACGTTAACTGGGAAAACCAATTCAACTTTCACGTTCGCATTGTTTGCCCAAGCACGAAAAGTTATTAAGATCCATAGACGTGATTTTGCATGTTTTAAAAAAGTAGAGAAAAAAAACAACAACAACAACAAAAGCGTAGACAAAGATGCAGATACGCTGACTCCACAGCGTTAAATATGTTTATACAGATAGATAGATAGTTAAAGCACAATTTCCATTAGCACGATGGTTAGCACGGACAGGCCAAATGCCTGGAAAAGGAAAACTTCAGATTTCGAGGAAACCCAAGTAACAACTACGACCGGCTATAGCATTGACACGCCTGACAAGAATTGAATTAAAACTTTTCTCTAAAGGACCAGCTGGCAAAAAATACAAAAACAAAAAGGAAAGATGAAAAATGCGCCGCTTTTCAATTTTCATTGTGGCCAAAAAGTTTCAGCCACGAAACGCGCATTTGAATTGATTTGTAATTCGTGGTTAATTCAGATGACGCTGAACACCGCACACAGAGCATTGCCCACTCTTATGGCCTACTTCAGACTATTTTTATTCAGTATACGCCGCGTTGGTTTTTCCCTGTTCATGTTATTAACGTAATTTGACACTGAAAGCCTGACAGCTGCGAGAAAAATGTTCTCTTTGGTAAATGGGCGCTTAATTGATAATGAGCTTGGGCATTGGGTAGGCAACGGGTCTGACATTGCATACATTAAATATTGATTTAATTGTTAATTTGTCACAAACTCATAAAAATCACAAAAAAAAATAAAAATAAATAAATAAATATTGCTTTGTGGTTTGTCTAGCAGTTGTTAAAGTGCGAAAATCATATATTCATTATGTGGGATTAAAACGAAGCGAATATTGAATAAGTGTCGTTAGAAAGTTTAATTGATCTGTCAAAGGGATTCAAGCTGAATTTGATAAACCATTTTTTATACACCTATTAAATATAAATTTTAATATGTATATGGCATTTATAATATATATATATATATATATATATATATATATATATATATAAATATATATAATATATATATATATTTATATATATTTATTTTACATACTGTTAAACTGGATTAGAACTAGATACATCAGAGATCTCTGCTGAAAGTTTTTGTCTCTGAAGCCTATATATAAATGTTGACATTGTAGAGAGGGAGAGAGAATTCTTAATTAATTCTATGATTAGGCATCTAATGTCTTTATTCTAATACCGAAGATTAAAAATTAACAAACAGTTGTAGCTCATTTTGCATATATCCACTACTGAGTGGCTTTAAAACTTTCTTCAAGGGCATGCAGTAGTCTCTTGAACTCCAAGAATTATGTTTTTTAAGGCACAAAAATTTATTTTCATTATTATTTTTCAAGTTCTCATTATATTCTCAGATAATGTGTACTAAATGAAAAGTCAGAAATAAAATTTATTGATTTCAAGGCACTGACTACTCGGAGCTTCCAGTGCAATAAGACGCGCATTCCTGCACTAACATAGTACGTGAACCTAAATCTATATTATTAAAGTAACTTTGACAACTCTTGAATTCATCTATAAAGAGCCGCAACTGATATATAAAGGCACTTCTGAATTCCATATATATATATATAAAGTGTATATCATATAAATGTCACCGACTTGACTCGACACGACTCTTCTCGATTGGACTTGCCTCACCTGGACTGGACTTGACTCTTCCATTTCAGTCTTGACTACTTATCAAATGCATGCTTCAATTAATTATCTGTGGTATTTGTGTATCAACTCAGTCTTAATAAACGCAACATAGATAAATCTTTAAAAATTGTTGCATCTTTCGCCCAGAGGTCGGCAACACTTTTGGTCCGTTGTTGCTGCTGCTTGCGTTGCTATTGCATTGAGGCATTTAATTGATTGATTGCCGTTCGTCTATGTCTGCATCGATTTCGACTGCCCAGATGTCACGCCCATCCCCGGTCCAGCCATCGTCACCCCTACCCTAAGCCATGTTTCATAACCCATGGATTTTTCCCTCTGACTGTTGTTATCAAATCGACTTCATGGACCCACATAACAGACGTCGTCGTTGTTGTTGCTGCTGTTGTTACTGCCAATTAGTGTCGGCGCGTCATGTGTGTGTGTGTGTGTGTAGGTGTAGGTGCGTCATCAATTAATTTTTGTATTGTTGTTTTCGTTTTTTTGGCACAAAATGTTGCATTTGCTGAGAGTTCGGGGAAGCCGGGTTTTAGGGTAACATCGACCCCAATATGGTCAGCGTTATGTGGCAGATTGCCCGTGTTTCCAAAAGGTAACCATGTTGACTGATTGGTTTTTCGAATCAATTGTTTGCTTCTTTTTGGCAGGCAATGTGCTCTACAACTAAGTTTTGTTATGGAAAGCTGACGAATTTATATAACTGCATGCAATAGTTGGGGTGGGCATTTGGGGGTGTCCAGCGAGTGTTATGTATGTGTGTATGTATGCATGTATATTGGCTGTTATTAAATCAATTTTGTAGTTGTCAGAAATGTGATTTAGTGATTTCATGCACATGCAACTCAGAACGTTGACTTTGCTTCAAATGAAATAATTTAATTGAATTTCAATTTTTTTTGTCGATGGTTTTAAGATAAGATATTGGCTAAAGAAAAAATTAAATAAATTAGTAATTATTAAAGAACACAATTTGTAGACATATTTAGTTTAAACTGTATACTATCTTCAACAATATTAAAAAGTCAAAGAGCAGGTCAACTTATTCAATATAGACTGTTTCATCCTCAACCTCAACTCGATAGAAGAATTTCAAATAAAGATCAGCTCAGCATAAGTCTTTGTATCTCACTAATCTGACTAAAACATAAAGTGTGCTATCTTAATTATAATAATTGTATGTTTTTTTTATTTTTTATAAAATAAAATAGATTCACACCTAATTTAACTCTACCCATCTGCGGGCTTGAAGTTCAGTTATATAATATGAATGATATATGAATGATATATATAATATGAATGATATATAATATGAATATAAACAGTACAATTCAACTGATACAAAATATTCTTCATTTGGCATATATAAACTGATTACTAAGAATAGATAACTTACAAAAATAAACAAATATTTCTTATCTTATCGCAAAGCTGTTAATGACCTCAGTTTATCTTTATTGCACACACTTGCTTCTATAAACCACAAATGGTTCGGGGTAAAGGGAGTCTAACTTTATAGGGCGTGTGTTCAACTGTGTTAAATTACGGAAACAGCTGAAATTTGACCTGGTGCTCTTGATTTTGTCTGTGAATACAGCCAGACAACTTAGTTCAAATTATCTATTGGAAGCGGTAAATAAGTATAGAAGAGCAAATACTTAAAATCGCAGCAGATATATGATATTCAATATTCAGATTGCCTTATTTTTAGCCATTCCAAATAGAGCACACCTACCTCAGTTTATAACTTAGCATCTTACTCATGCAGCTCTGCGCAGAGGTCGCGGTATCTGCTAGTCGGGCACTGACGACTTGACTTTTCTTAGTCGTTATTATTATGTACTGTATATATTAAATATCTATAACTATTTTTTTTTTTTCGATATAATCATTCGATTGTATTTATGAAAAAGTATCTGTGTACAGACTTCTATTACCTGAATAAATGTATACAAACTGGATAAACAAACGCAGCCAACTTTTTGATTTCAATCAGTTGTCGTTAAAAACTTCGAAGTGCAACATGTCTAAAGAATTTTTGATATATCTATTGATTTTATTACAAGTTATTTGTTTGCTTGCTGGTAAGTGCACATAGAGCTGAAAGGCTAGCAAAGTATTTACAATCATTTCGTTAATTCAGCCAAAGAAGATCAGAAGTTAAAGAAATTCATCAGAGATATGAGAAGGCAATTATTTAATCTGCTTGAGGACTTACAGCATAATTAAGTTTATTATTTGTTTATTATTTAATATATATATCAAGATAATGAAACGTTTTGTTTAAATATATATTTATACACATTTGTATATTGTTTTTAAGTCTTTCATTTATTGTTAACGAAAACCATTTGCTGTTGTCATGCAGTAAATTTATTCATTTCATATTTTACCTATTTAATTCCGGGCATTTGGTTCTTAAGAGAAAACGCTTTGGCCAAAACATTGATAGCCCAGCTGAGTCACAAATGCGAAATAGTAAGAATTTTATTCGGTTCGAATTAATAATCTTATCGCAAAGTCAAGAAATGTGATAAGCCAGACGATTGGTTAGGCAATATCCATGAAAATGTTAACGGTTTCGTTGATCGGCATTCACACCTGTATTCTAGGCATAGATCTTGGCCAGCGTTAGGGCCAAGACAGTGGCCACTATTGTGTAGTGGCTGCTGCTCATTTTGCCAGCTGGATTCTTGTTGCACTTATCCCCGGAGCAGACAGTGCACTTCGCCTTTCTCCAGCTGGAAAATTCTGGCTTAAGGACCAAATTACAAGCGTTCACATCGGGATGAATGCAGCCATGCAGCTGATGCGTAATTGAATTGTCTAAACAAATGCATAACGATATCATATTACAAGTATTGACAGTTAACTATCATAACTACTTACTATTCGGGAATGTGTACTTAAGGGCCATGCAATCGAATCTATAGCTGCTTAGATTCCGCACATTCTGGTGGTAAACGCCCAAATAATAACTCGTCTCATTGGCTGCGTCATTGGTGCAGGTCGTTTTTCTCGCACTCTTGCAATCATTTGCATTTATGCATGTGTAACAAGTCAAGGAGTTGGCTACGATTTAAATAGGTGTCATTAATACGTCTACCGCCCCAATCAAGTCAACTCACCCAACTGCACACAGACAACAGCAATCAGCAGACTGAAACACAAGCTTTTCGACATCATTTTGATATTTTGCGAAGTGCTTTTCTCATCTATTGAGTCTCTACTGAATTGCTTGCTCTATCACATTAACGTTTTATATTCGGTTATTAGCTCACTCTCAAAGTTGGCTTATATTCAGCTATTCGCTCACTCTCTGTGTTGGCTTATCTTCACGAAACGCAAGAGATTGTACCGGAATCACACACTTATAACAAAACTAGTTCAAGTCGTGTAAAACATTATTCTACCATCGCGCTTTCAATGAATTTAAGGTTAAAAAAAAAATTATAAATATATATCTTTTTTTATCTTAATCTTAATTGTTCAAAAAATTTTTCATGCTTAAATCAATTATTCAAATTATTTTTTTAAATATTTAAATTTATGTTAAGAAACTTATATAACAGTAATGAAAAAAATTATATTTTTATAAGAACGAAGAGAACGTTTGAAGCGAGAAGTTTTATTGAGAATTCAGATTATATAACATATTTGAACACATGTTTTCAAAAACAAAACAACAAATCTTTCGAAGCTTTGCATAATTTTGGACAATTACATAATTTCAAGAAGAGCTTAAATTATTACATCAGAATATTTTTCCCTATTTAGCATTTATTTAAATTAATAAATACCTTCAGATATTAAATATTAATTTGAAAATCTTTTGTTATTTCAAATCACAAACACAATTCAAAATCATTGAACTGAAATAATGAAAATTTGATTTTGTTCTATTTCACACGAACTTTTTAGCAGATCGCTTATCAATATATGCAACTGAAAGCTCCCATTTTTGCTTATTTTACCTTATCTATGTACATATGTACACAGCCGATCAGTTGGTTTTTGAAACCCAAGGCAAGATGAGTGCAATTCGAAGTAACGAAATTGAGTTGGGAGAGGTAAGCACTTATAATAAATACTAAATAATTGACTGATGACTGATGATGAAAACGGATACACTACATAGAAACTTGGAGAAGGTACTTTCGGAGTAGTGCGGAAAGGCACCTATAATGGCAAAGAAGTGGCAGTCAAAACCTTACTGGGTAATATCGAGCAGCAGCATATGCAACGCGAACCCTTGTACATGACAATGGTCAAGGGCCATCCCCGCTTCGTTACATTATATGGAATTTGTTTGAAGGAAACTGAAACTCTGTTGGTTATGGAGTACGTTGCAGGCGGAAGCTTATTTGACTTTCTGCATAAAACCAAGGAAGAATTAAAATTCCCCAATGCCATTAATTTGTTGCATCAAGCAGCTCAGGTAAGTTGTCAACTTATATAATCAGAATGTTTTCCTTATCGTCGCGGATGCACACCGTTTCATGTTCTATTTTTAGGGCTTGGCTTATCTACATTCGGTTTCGGAGAAATCTGTCATTCATCGTGATGTTAAGACCCTCAATATGCTGCTGGACGTCGAGCGAAAAAACTTGAAAATATGTGATTTCGGTTTCGTAAGGCAGGTGGGATCTCACATGACTAAAGAAAGTGGCACTTATATATATATGGCACCCGAGGTATATATAAACATCTATGATTAAGCTTGCCACTTATGCACAGTTGATTACACTCAGGTGTTCAATGATGAACATTACACAGACAAATGTGATGTGTACAGCATGGGCATTACGATCTGGGAAGTTCTGGCGCGTAAGGTTCCCTATTACGAACATGATAAAATAAACAAAATTGAATTCGTTACTCAAATCGAGAAAGGTATGTATTTAAATGCATTAAGTGTACAATTTTATAATTTAATTTGACTCAATGCAGGTGTACGTCCCTCTCTGAACGACTTATCGGATTGCCCGCAAGAATTGAAAACTTTCATTACCAAATGCTGGGCTGGAAAACCTGATGATCGTCCCACCATGCAGCAAGTCGTTGTTGAATTGGAAAAGTTTTTGGATAGCTAATTATGCAAGCTAATGATTCGGTGACTTATAACATTTATATAAGTCCTGCAGGTAATCTGAATTAATCAGAATTACTTTTTTAATTTTGAAAAGAGGTTTGCTAACATATATGAAATATAATAGTTACTCTTTCTGGATTAGCCAAGTAACCATGCAGAATACCTTGCATTTTTCTTTACCATTTTTGCTTGTGTTTCTCCTCTTTTCCTTCTTGCTGACTGTTGATTCGAACACAGAGCCAAGTGTTACCAAGTGGACAGGGAGACAGTCGAATATCTAGATGAAAAGGCTAAGCTAGTTTAATGAGTCGCCCACGACTTCTTTTCTGGCTGTGATGATTCAAACTGTATTTGTCTAGAAATCGTTAATAATTATTAAATAACTCTCCTTTTAGCAATAGATCATAGCCACAGATATAATTGCAATTGGCAAGTTCTTCGATTTATATTGACAAGCGATCTTCTCCCATTCAACTGCACAGAAATAGAGCTAATTCTCATACTCATACAAAATAAATTCTTCATTCTGAATATTTAAACAACTACGCCATATATAAGCTGCTCTGATTAGCTGCTATGAATAATAAAAGCTTAAGAGAACTTTCAAAAAGTCGACTCATGCGAAGATAAGCAATTTTATTGTAGTCCATGTTGAATCAATTTTTTTTCACCTAAGAGAAAGTTCTTTATTGAGTCGGTTACGGCTGACTTAAAGCATTGCAAATAGTTTCACTATCAACCTATGTCAAGAAGCAAAAGCAGTTAAGAAGATAACAAATTGATCGCTTTTCGCTTCTGCAAATCCATTCAATAACTTTCTTTTCTTTTCAAGCTCAACTCATCATCAGACTCCTGACTTTCTCAACAACTTTATCTTTTTCCTTTAGTGTATTATCTTGGACTACCGATGTTGTCTATATAAAAGAAGCTATGTAAATGTACTCTTATTAAACTAAAACAAAGAAGTTACTCATTCAATTTCGTAGATAGTTTGTGACTCAATCAAAGCCAATAACACTAATAGCCAGAACTTAATTTGATAAAAAAGGCTAATATAATAAACTTTTAAATTTAAAATTTGATAAAAACGATTCAAAAAGTTTTTTATGCCATGATAACGCATGCCATTTCCTTACTATCTATAAGAATCGATTACTTCATTCGGTTTTATTTTTTATTTTTCTAGAACAGTTCAACCAAATTAACTTTTGGTCATATTCATGCACTTGTAGTCGGCTAGTTAGGGCACATTTCTGTGCATGGTAATTAGCAAGTCTCTGGTCGCATCGGCTATGGCTAGACTGCCGATCCATTGACTAAGTTAGTTTAGAATCTTAATCAAAATCAACTCATCAAACACTTCATTATAAACGATATATTTAAGCTAAGTTCATGATGTCAACCAATTCATGGAGGGATTTTTATCTATTTCACAATGAAGGGACTTGGAAATGGAAACAGAATTGTAGGAGCTCGATAAATCGAGTCTGTACTTTCTAGACTTTTGTCCACCTTGAAGGTAAATCACTAACTTTATTTGTCTTATGCGGGAACTAAATATGGTGGAGGTGCTGTTAGTCTTCAAGCGTGTTGTTATCGCAGCAAATGGAATACTGATAACGTTTGCTCGAAGTTGACTTCTTTGTGGGGGTTCACAATGCAGGATAGAGTTGCTAGAAGCTACGACCTGTGCCAAGGGGACAAGGCGTTGCAATGCAACGCTATTACAGAGCTTGCTTGGAGCGATCCTGACTGCCCCACCCATTATAGATTGATCAACACTTTTATATCCTACAGATTCAAAGCTGTGCATTTTTTAATTTGTATTTATGAAAACATATTTCTTATACGAATACTTTGACCAGGATGAGCAGCAACGCTGAAGCCATAATGGTAAAGCTGCTCTTGCTAAAAGTGCCCGCCGGATTGTGATTACAATTGTTGTAGTTGCAAGTGCGACAGGATTTAGCCCAGCTATAGGCGTTAGTCGCGTTCAGATTTAGATTACATACGGGTATGGCGCTGTAGTAACAGCCGAGAATTTCTTGGGCCTTGACGTTGTCTGAGAAAGAAATGCAAATTATTAAAATGCTCAAGCAGAAAATTTCATTTTGGCTAATTACTTGAGGCGTAGAAATAGGTTAGATTCACGCACTTATAGTCATAGGTCACAATGGAAGGCACATTGCTGTGAATGGCACTCAGCCAGCTACTGGTCGCATTGGCAGTTTGTACATTGCAGTACTGTGAGCTGGGATAGCGACAGGAGCTCGGCGAGTTGCAGGTATAGCACGACAGACCCTCAACTGCAGCTGGGATATGGAAAAAAATTATATCACTGACTGAAGACGCGCGTCATCTTTGATTAGTTCTCACCAATCTGCTGGCCCACAAGGGCCGCAACCACCAGAGCAAGAATACACTTCATCCACATGTTACTGTCAGCGGCTAACTAATCGAACTGTTCATCAACTCAGCTGCTTGAACATCAAATAGTTAAATATTCAGTCGGCCGATAAATAAGATAGTAAATAAGTATTTTTATTTTATTTTTTCAGGGCTTTGACTCAACTTAAAGGGGATGTCCGCTTATCAAAGACAAGCATATATATACAGATAAGCATATATACACAAACGGCCTTCCATGTGGCCTTAATTACATACTGGTATATATATATATATATATATATAAATAAATATATATATATATATATATATATATAAATAAATATATATATATATATATATATATATATATATCTATATATATATATATATATATATATATATATATATCTATATATCTATATATATATCTATATATATATATATATATATATATATATATATAAAGCTCATATTTAATATCGTTAAAAAATAAAAAATAAAATAAATAGTGAGACATTGCACACTGATAAAAAGTTGTTCATAAGGAAACCAAGCCATATTATCGGGTTTTTCGGGTTGCTTTATGAATAATGCAAGATTTATGTGTATCGGGCAAATCACAATCATTCTCAATAAATGACATAATTTACCCAACGCGAAACCGTCAAGTTTAGGCGTGCTCCAATAATTTGTTTTGTGTAGCTCAAACATATAGACTTCCGATATTGAGCGATTCCATTATATTTCTTATTTGGAAAAATAACCCGTTATTCATTAATATTTTACTGACTTCAATAGCTTCGAATTTAGTTGAAAGCAAAGTTGTCAAAGTCAATTCTGTACGAGATCTAAACAAAATCAACTAATAAGAAACCATATGCCACGCCTCTAAATATCGCTCTTATTCTGCAGAGAAGGCCAACCTCAATTACTGATGTGTGTGCTGTTTGTAACAGGTAAAAGAAGGCGTGACAGACCCCATCAAGTATATGAATTCTAGATCAGGACGACAAGCCAAGTCAATTTAGTCCTGTCCGTCTGCCATCTCGTAAATCTATAGAAATATTAAATGTTTGTTCCTGCATACCATACGCAGACCAAGTATCCCTATTATCGATAAAAATCGTTATTTAGATTGCTCTTTCAAACATAGCTAGTTTGCTAGTAGCAAGCTTTGCATATTTTGGATTTGTGACATCCCCCCAAAAGAAGCGTAGCATTATTGGAATAGAGTTCAGAGTTCAGGGTATCTGCTAGTCGGGCATTCCCGACTCTAGCGTTGTGCATTCTTTATATTTGGATTCGATTTACAAATATTTTGTTTTGTTTTGTTTCTAGAAGGCAAATTTAGCTACGATCAAGGCCATAGCTGTGATCATAATGCTGTAGAGACTCTGGCTAGAAGTGGCCGCCGGATTGCGATTGCATTTGTCCGCCTCGCAGCTGAGGCAGCCTTTCTTCCAGGAGTCGCTGTTAGATGCGTTTAATGGTAGAATACAAACAGGGATGTCGGGGTGATGACAGCCCAGATATTCATGGATCTTGGACCTGTCTGCGAATTGCAAATAGAAACAGTTATAGCAATCAAACTTGCATCAAGTGAGAACTTACTGTTTTCAAAGTAATATGTGAGGTTCATGCACGAGAAGCTGTTGCTGCTGCCGACGACGGGCACAAATTTGTGAATGGTATTCAGCCAGACGGTGGTCTCGTGGGCTGTTGCATCAGAGCAAACCTGAGGGCTGGGACTAACACAGCTAGCAGGCGAATTACAGCTGTAGCAGGTCAGGCCGTTCACTGCAAGATTCTATATTGATTTATGCGCAGTGTTTAGACATGTCAGACGCAATTCTCACCAAACTGTTGACCACCAATGACCGCCAGCACTAGACCAAATATTAACTTCTGCCACATCTCGTTTAGTACAACTTCCAACTAAATCGATCTAACGAAAATTGACCAAGTCTTTCAAATCATTTCGATTGCATTTGGTATGTTTTTACCGTACAAGCCGGTAATAAAGATTAGATTAGTTGCCTAGATTGTAGAATTTCTCTCTCACTATCTCGGTCTAGCTCTCTCGCGCTCCCTTATCTACTTAGCATGAAAACAAAAACATTTCGTTCACTGCAGATCTGATATAATCAATAAATTAATCTCAGCAAATCATAATTCAGAAATTGGTCTCTTGAATAAATCGATCAAAAATATGAATATATATAGCTGCCAAATAGAGAATACAAGATCAATTATTTGCCACGCAAATGATAGATAATCGGTAAACAATAAGGTAATAATTATAATTTGATTTATTACATTTATCGCATAATTTAAAATATAATTTTTGAATTTTCTTTAAATTAAACTTTGATTTGATCAGTATAATTAATGAAAATATTTTTATTATATTGAAAATCTATTGTAAATAAATGATTGATAAAATTCAATTATGAAATGTGAAAAAGTTTATAAAATACTTTCATGTTCTCAACCAACTGTAGGTATTTGAGATCACTTAAAGCTACCAAACTACAAATTTATAGTAAAAATGCAATATGCAAATGCGTTTACTAGCAAAACAACAAAGCTCGCAAAAAAGTATAAAAATGTAGCAGGCAATTTGCAATTGCAAACACGTCTTAATGTCTAAAGCCCAATATCAAGTATTTGCCATAACAAATAAACAAACGTAGAAGGATAAGCAACACGGGAACAAAATAAAATAGAAACAAGGGACAATGTTTCAAAAATTGAAAAGCATATATCAGCATCCTGGACATGTCACGCATAACTAAATACAAAACATACAAAAGAAAACAAGTAAGAAAGCTCTAGTCGGGGTGCCCGACTAGGAGATACCCTGATCCCAGTCCTTTGAGTTTTGTAATATTTTCCGTAGTTTGTATCGAGTATTAAAAAAAAAAAAGAAAACAAATAAAAATCGACATTGCGAGACCAGGTTTCGAACCCGGATTATTTGCGCAACGTGCACAAACTCTACCAACACCGCCACTTCATAACTAAAAAAAAATAAAAAACGTTTCATATCCACTGGCCTCGAACCCGGACCAAGCTGCACACGAGCGGCGCCTCTACCAACGCAACCACTGCCCTTCTTACGCGAACTGTTGCAAATTTAAACATAAGTAGCAGCTAATAATTCAACACAATTCAATCGCAATTTCAATTCTTGGAATAGAAAAGAATACACGCATTTGAATGTATGTGTGCACACGCATAGGAAAAATGCGTGCGCGTGGCGCTGCTGACATGTGCTTTTGCAAATTGGCCAAACGTTTTGTTTAATAACTTCTGTTTTACTTAATGGATTTTAATGAAATTTTCAGCATATAATCTACATATCCTATTGGCATGGTTGAGATGCAAACGCCTTTACATAATGGCCCTAGTTCCAACTAAACTTAAATTCTAAGAATTTGGGGGAATTTGGAGCCGGTATCCAAAATCCAACAAAAATCAAAATTGCATAAAATATACATAAGACTAAATACAAAATTTGGAGGCTCTAGCTCTTAAGACGTTTGAGATATAATTTATTTACTGCATTTCAATAATGTTTTTATTCGATAACAATTAAATGCGAATAGTTATCGAATATTTGAAACAAACTTGACCTGCGCGTGCTATACACGGACCTACAAAAAAAATTTCAAGTCTCTAGCTCTTATAGATGCTGAGATCCACGCGTTCACACATACGGACAGACGGACAGACGGACAGACGGACGGACGGACAGACGGACAGACGGACGGACAGACAGACGGACAGGGCTCAATCGACTCGGCTTGTCGTCCTGATCAAGAATATATATACTTTATGGGGTCTGCCACGCCTCCTTCTGCCTGTTACATACATTTGCACAAAACCATTATACCCTGATTTCCCATTTTTAATGGGATCAGGGTATAAAAAGAGAGAGAAAGAGCCACAGAAACAGATGCAGGATGCGAGAAAAAACATACAAAAAAAAAAAAAAAGAAGAAGATGAAGAAGCATAAGCTTCTGCCAAGGATACGTAGAGGATATTAAATGACAGGACAAATGGCAGGATCCGTATGCCAAGCTGAGTAGCAGGCTCCTCGAAGGTAAACGAAATGCGCAAATCCTGTGAACAATACCAAGCGACAAACAACAAATAGCTGCGGGTTAGATTTATAAACATACAAACACACACTTATATATATATATATATATATATATATATATATATATATATATATAGATATATATATATATATAGATAAACAGGAGAATTACAATATGCTTTTTTAAAAATTAGAAAAACAACGTGCAATAGTCAAGGCATGGCAAGGCATGGCAAGGCATGCCACTCGCCTGACAGGACAATAATATTGTGATAGAGGGGCCGCCGGTCTGTGGCCCTGTGGCTGGGGCAGCAGCTCGCAAGATAAACACAAACCCCGCAGCGTTGGCGGTCGGTGTGCGAGGTGCGTTTCACAATTGTGGCAAAAGTCGCTGGGGCGCCTTTGCGCCTTCGGCTGGCAGTTCAGTTATTTTTTGGGTGGGCGTGGCAGTGGCACGTTGCAACGCAAACAGAGTGCTATGCGAGCCTTTTCTTATTGTGCTGCGAAACTAGACAACTGGATGGCTTGTGCATTGCATTAATTTTCCGGTCACGTATCCTTTTTAATCCTGACAAGAATATTATTTCCATAAAAAATGGCACACAGCTAGCTGGGCTGCGCGCGCTGCCACGACAGCGGCATCAACGTCGAAATCGTTTCAGAGCATCAAGCATACTCCACGTATGCCGCAACCGAATCATAGACAACGACACATGTATTTAATTTTATTATTCATATACATTTACCTATACATGTATATATATCTAAAGTTAAAGCATTAACATAACGCTTCACTGATAGCTTAAAGCGTCGCGAGTAACTTAGGCGTTTGTCAACATTGCGTATGCGTAATGTGTGACACTTGCGGCTTAAAGGATATTGTCTGAATGAATGTATATGTGTGTCTGGGCGTGTGTATGTAGCATACTGCAACAGTTACAACAAGTTACATGTTGCATAAGTTGCAAACAGTTACTGAGAGGACAAAGAATAAGCTTTAACTTGAACAAAGTAAGCAGCAAATGTTAAATCCTTTTAGAAAAGCAGCTATGAATACACTTGACTGTGGAGGCGTTCAGTTGTGTAATGATCTTTATTCGTCCGAGCTAGAGTTCTTACATATACCCAGACTCAAGCGTATTTCATCTCTTAAATTTAGCTTATCAAGTGCTGACTGTGTAAGGGTCAGCGCTAGTATGCATAATTTTAGAATCTAATGTAATTTGATCTATTTCCATTGAATTCCCTGCAAGTGGTTGAGTGTGTCGACGGTATGCTTGGAATTCTTGAATCGATTGTATGTTCAAATAAATGTATATATTGTACATTATATTTTTAGAATGTGAGCAACTTTTTCGCACAGAAGAAAGCAAAAAGTTCATATTGTTTAAGCAGATAAGAAATAAATACTTTTAGTGAGGCAGTTAAAGTCAATAAATGTATATATTAAATGTGTGTATTAAATGTATGTATGTATTGATGTATATGCATATACATTTATATATATAGGCAGACGATTAACGAACTTAAGTTGTTCTCTCAATGAAATCGAAATCAGCCGATCAGTTGGTTTTTGAAACCCAAGGCAAGATGAGTGCAATTCGAAGTAACGAAATTGAGTTGGGAGAGGTAAGCACTTATAATAAATACTAAATAATTGACTGATGACTGATGATGAAAACGGATACACTACATAGAAACTTGGAGAAGGTACTTTCGGAGTAGTGCGGAAAGGCACCTATAATGGCAAAGAAGTGGCAGTCAAAACCTTACTGGGTAATATCGAGCAGCAGCCTATGCAACGCGAACCCTTGTACATGACAATGGTCAAGGGCCATCCCCGCTTCGTTACATTATATGGAATTTGTTTGAAGGAAACTGAAACTCTGTTGGTTATGGAGTACGTTGCAGGCGGAAGCTTATTTGACTTTCTGCATAAAACCAAGGAAGAATTAAAATTCCCCAATGCCATTAATTTGTTGCATCAAGCAGCTCAGGTAAGTTGTCAACTTATATAATCAGAATGTTTTCCTTATCGTCGCGGATGCACACCGTTTCATGTTCTATTTTTAGGGCTTGGCTTATCTACATTCGGTTTCGGAGAAATCTGTCATTCATCGTGATGTTAAGACCCTCAATATGCTGCTGGACGTCGAGCGAAAAAACTTGAAAATTTGTGATTTCGGTTTCGTAAGGCAGGTGGGATCTCACATGACTAAAGAAAGTGGCACTTATGCATATATGGCACCCGAGGTATATATAAACATATATGATTAAGCTTGCCACTTATGCACAATTGATTACACTCAGGTGTTCAATGATGAACATTACACAGACAAATGTGATGTGTACAGCATGGGCATTACGATCTGGGAAGTTCTGGCGCGTAAGGTTCCCTATTACGAACATGATAAAATAAACAAAATTGAATTCGTTACTCAAATCGAGAAAGGTATGTATTTAAATGCATTAAGTGTACAATTTTATAATTTAATTTGACTCAATGCAGGTGTACGTCCCTCTCTGAACGACTTATCGGATTGCCCGCAAGAATTGAAAACTTTCATTACCAAATGCTGGGCTGGAAAACCTGATGATCGTCCCACCATGCAGCAAGTCGTTGTTGAATTGGAAAAGTTTTTGTAGATTCAATTATCGAGCTGTAGTGACTGACGAAAGGTCGGTCGACATTTTCCATATGTATAATAAGTTTGTCATCAATTGATTTCAACTAAATACTTGAATATTCAAAATTTGAATTGTATGCCTCTTTTTTGGGGTAATGAAATAAGTTGTAAGTGTGCTCGCATGTGCAATCGATCAATGTGCATAACAAATGAGGCGCACTTTTATTAGCCAACTAGAAAAATATAACAGCTGCTCTTACAAGCGCACCAACTGGCCAACAAGCCATTCATCAGTCTCCGTACTTCGAGACACTTTGGCAAACAAGTTTCAACTATCGTAATTGACCCGGAAATAGCTTAAAGCCAAATATTTGCAGACACAGCATACAGCGAGAGCGTGGTCGAGTAAAAGGTAGGGTGGTGGGGCGGTCTGCTGCTGGATAACTGGAAGCAAAATATCTCGGCCAGGCCCGCAGAAGCACCAACACAAGTACACCTAATGATTGGCCGAGAGCAAATAGAAGTGCATAAGACCAAAACAAATATTTCCATTGCATATGCAAAATGAACAGATATAGCTACCCAGATGAATGCGTGTGTGGGTGCCAGCAGGTTATCATAAGTTTCGAGTGTCAACTATCATAGTCCCAGTTGTCCGGCAACTCATTCAATTTTCTCTCCTCCTTTCCTTTTTGCTCCGTCTCAATACTAATTGTTGATTAAACGGCACCAATTGATGCTAGGCTGCTGCTACTCAGTTTCCACTTCCATTTGCCATTGCCGTTACCCATTACCAATTCAGCAGCAGCGGAGCGGAGTGTCTTGTGGCTCTATTGTCACAGCATTTAGCGAGACGGTTCGATACGAGCACTGAGCAGAGTGCAAAAAGGTGTGTGCGTGTGTGTGAGCGTCGGGGAGCTTTGGCTCATTGCAATTTTGCACGTGAACTTGTTAACAGCAAAAATAACGTGGGCATGACATTGCCAGACACAAAAAAAAAAGAAAGAAAACAGCCACAAAAAAGCTAATAAATCAATACACAGTAAAAACTGAATGTACGAGATAGTAAAGAAGTTCGTTCAACAAAGGGGACCTGAAAAGTTCTGACATCCACAATGATTAAAGTTCTTTTCGAAAACAAAATAAAATTAAGTTGAAATAAATTGAAATCTTAAAAACAACAAATACAACGTTAATTCTGCTATAAAAGAATATTATTATTCTGTTTAAGAAGTAACCGACTGCATAATACTCGATCTCGATCAACTGTCTTTATTCCAGTTGCCTTCCCCTATAGATCAAATCGTGGAAAAATCAGTAGTCACTGTGTAGCTTCAAGCAATAAAAGGTATACAGACAGAGAGACGGATGAACGGATAGCAAAGCGTGCATTGCACAAAGCCAATACACTATTTTCACTTCCTAGTTTGCGTCCATTTTTATAAAAAAAATTATCATGAAAATCGCCAAAATCGAAAAACATTTCGAGCAACCATTTTTAAATTTCGCGCCCTTTTGCAACTGCCATAGCAATGAGCTTGATGTATGCTAACGACAGTGCTGCCCATCAACTATATTTCAGTTGTTGGGCAGCAGTGTTGCCCATCTCCATTTAACTTGTTGAACGCACACCAGTGCTGCCCATCAGCTACATGCAAGTTGTCGTGAATTTATCAATTTCAATTTATTTGAGCCAAATTAAATGCCGCTTATCGAAGCAATCCAATCCCTGACCGCCGCAACTCTGGAATAAACACCAGGATATTCGGGTCTCGCACAGCCGAAGCCCCACGAGACAACGCCCCACAATTTCCCATTGACAGCCAGCGGACCGCCCGAATCCCCTTGACATGCATCCTTGCCACCTTCGCTGAGACCCGCGCATAGCATACGATCCGTAATATTGCCAAAATTCTGATAAGCCAATGTGCATTGGGTCTGATTCACCTTCGGCACGGTCACAGCGCGCAGCACATCCGTCGATTCCTCCGCACTTTGGGTATTGCCCCAGCCAGTGATTGTGACCAATGTGCCATCCGGTATATCCTCATTCTGTTCAGGTAGCTGGACAAATGCTTGCGTTACGTTTGTGCCATCAAAGGACGCCAGCTCGAGCAGGGCATAGTCATAGTCGATAATTCGTGAATTGTAGTTGGGATGACGATGAATGCGCTGTATGTCGACGATGAGACCGTCATTATCTTTGTGCGTGGCGCCGACTCGCACCTTCAACAACTCCACGCTGGCGCTCTCCACACAATGAGCGGCGGTCAGGGCCCAGCCCAATCCAATCAACGAGCCGCCGCACATATGGAAATTGCGCTGCAGTGAAATTTGATACGGATAATCCTTAATAGACACCTGAACGCCGCCCACAATACGTCCATCCAGGCGCAGCTCGGGCACAGCCGGCACAGCCGACAGAGCCAAGCAGCCAATACAAGCTAGCAGTAGTGACAGGAGCAGCGTCTTACAACTTAGCGACATGTTCGATTCGGAGTGGATAGGTATTATGTTAGCTCAACAGCTACTAAGATTGCTTATATAGACGCAGCCAATGGGTTATCAATAGCTCATTTTTCAGGGTCAATCATCGGTTGCGTAGCGAAGGTATCCACTTGGCCTAGTTAATCCGTCGCCGATACTCATAAAGTTTTATAGCCCATAGACGACGATATCGGCGTCATCGACAATGTTATCTAAACTCAATTATTAAGTTTGAAAAAGACAATTCAGGGTTTATTTTCTTCAAAATTGTAGCAAATACATGAATTGGCAATTGCATTCCTTCGTACCTATAGCCCATGAAACCTTAAGAGACTATAGATATTATGGTAGCACGCAGATAGATCCTGAAATATTTTTAATTGTGAAACTAGCTTGGCATAAGCAGATAAGCAGACGTCGTTATAAATAAAATATATTTCCTATATTATAAATAGAATTATAGTTACTCATAGCAAGATTTACGACCCATACGGTAACTCCTTTTTCTTATCCCTATGCCAAGCAGTTTTATTAGAAGTATAATGCGACTTTGGTTTCCGGTAAGACACGTTGATTAGTGTGCCACTGTTAAGATCAGTAGGAATACCCTCTTAGCACTACAAAGTATTTGTAGCATACAGAAGAAGTCGAAGGTAGTATCTGCTGTACACTATTCCAGTCTGAGGTTCATTTATGAATGTACACTTTGCTTCATTGCTTACAGCTTGAGCCAGGTTAAGAACTTATTGTTGGATGGCATATCGGTCACTCGCTCTAGCCGCAAGCCATTCAGATCGGCCAGCTTTTTTAGATCTGTGATGTCCCGTATGCCCCACGAGCTATCGCGACTCCTCAAATTCGCATGGAAATCGACATTACTTTGGGGCGTCAGTTGGCCATCCAACGCGTAGGGTCCATAAGTGAAGAGTTTGCCGCCCGCTTTAAGCAGCTGGCCGGCAGCACGAAATAGACCCTCAGAACAGGCCCATGGTGTAATGTGCATCATATTGCAGTTGAGCATATAATCATAGCTGGCGAGCTTTAACTGCGCCCGGGTGCTGACCTCCCATTCCTGTAGCTCTTGCGAAATGTCCACAAAGAGCGGCGGACAAATATTGCCAGTCGCACAGTCTGCGGCATATGCTTTTATTGAGTTGAAATCGTTGCGTTCATATTCCGTTGTTTGAAAACTTATATTTGGTAGCAGGGGGGCCAAAAATCCGGCATGTTGACCCGAACCGGACGCAATTTCAAGCAGACGTAAGTTTGGTGTACTCTTATCCACCTGCTGGAGCAGAGCCTCCGATATTGGCTGAGAATTCCGGTCTGCCGAGGGATGTGTGCGTTTTATGGCGCTACAAAGAGTCGATGTAATAAACGTTGAAAGTGTTTTGTCAAACTGTGTGAAGTGATTACCACATAATAATATATAAATCCTTGTTCAAATTATAAATTAAACTTATAGTTTACCTCATATTTGCGTTTCGCAATTATCAAATTATTCAAAAGACCACTTATGTTATCTCAAATAACAATTTAATGTTAAATTTTGTTTGCTTCGAAATTTATCGACCAGGGCTGCAGCATATTGTAAGCCGATCAGCTCATAATATACCGACCCAAAATGTTTTGTATTCAATGTGCGTATGACATTTATTTTACGGCTTCAAGTTTATTTTCAAAACTATACATTATGATAGTAAATAAATACTATTTTTTATCAAGCAATTATGTTAAAATTACAAAGATTTTTTGCTTATATTAACATTAGGTACAACTTTTTTCATACAAAACCCTTGTAGAAAAATAATGTGGTTAATTTTTAAATATAAATAAAGCCTCTTTGTTTTATTTAAATAGGTTTTACTAATAATAATTAATACATGTAAAATTTTAAATATAGATAATTTTAGTATTTATAGTCAACTATTAATACGTCGTCTTCCGTTAGGACGTATATCGATATACTCGAATTTTCTTATATGGCACTGCTATTAATAGTCTATCGCCTGACCGCCACATTCGGCAGTGAGACAAAATTTTGCCAGTTTTAATTAGGCATTGTTTTTGTTTAATCAATTGTTGCACCTGAATAAGCTGCACAATGTCCGATAACGATGATGATTTCATGTGCGACGATGATGAGGACTATGGTCTGGTAAGAATTACTACATACCCCAACGCTGTTCTCAACGCCCGGCGTCTGCATGATTTTCTTTTTGCGGCTTCCATTTTAGGAATACTCGGAGGACAGCAACTCAGAACCAGATGTCGACCTAGAGAATCAATACTACAATAGCAAGGCACTCAAGGAGATGGAGCCCACAGCTGCGCTAGCCAGTTTTCAAAAAGTGCTCGATTTGGAGAATGGCGAAAAAGGCGAATGGGGCTTCAAGGCGCTAAAGCAAATGATAAAAATCAACTTTAGTCTTGTGAGTACTATGTGGGGCAAACAGATTATCAATTGTTAATTATTTCTTTTCTTTCTGTAGAGCAACTACAAGGAAATGATGGTACGGTACAAGCAGCTGCTCACCTACATCAAAAGCGCTGTCACACGCAATCACTCAGAGAAGAGCATCAACTCCATACTGGATTACATTTCAACGTCCAAGAATGTAAGTACGAAGTGTGTCAATATCTATTGTAAACTAAATATAATATTCTATATATCAGAGAAATATAAACCATAAAGTGATAATTTGTAATATACAAATAGTTAATATGTAATCAATTCAAAATAAATTATTTATTAGATGGAATTGCTGCAGAATTTCTATGAGACTACTTTGGATGCGTTACGCGATGCCAAGAACGATCGTTTGTGGTTCAAGACCAACACGAAACTGGGCAAACTGTACTTCGACCGCAGCGACTTTACCAAATTGCAAAAGATACTCAAGCAGTTGCATTCGAGCTGTCAGACAGACGATGGCGAGGACGATCTGAAAAAGGGCACTCAGCTGCTAGAAATTTATGCCTTGGAAATACAAATGTATACCGTACAGAAGAACAATAAGAAATTGAAAGCTCTCTACGAGCAATCGTTGCACATTAAATCGGCAATACCACATCCACTGATAATGGGCGTAATACGTGAATGCGGCGGTAAAATGCATTTGCGCGAAGGTGAATTCGAGAAGGCGCACACAGACTTCTTTGAAGCGTTTAAGAACTACGATGAGAGCGGATCGCCCAGACGCACAACCTGCTTGAAATATTTGGTGCTGGCTAATATGTGAGTGCTAATAAACATATAATTATAAATTTAATTTATAACTAATTAATTACTCTGTTGTCTGGCAGGTTAATGAAGTCTGGCATCAATCCATTTGACTCGCAAGAGGCCAAACCGTATAAGAACGATCCCGAAATATTGGCCATGACAAATTTGGTTAATTCATACCAAAACAATGACATCAACGAGTTTGAGACTATATTGCGTCAACATCGCAGCAACATTATGGCCGATCAGTTTATACGCGAGCATATTGAGGATTTGCTCCGCAACATACGCACCCAGGTGCTCATTAAACTGATCAGACCTTATAAAAATATAGCCATACCGTTCATAGCCAATGCACTCAACATTGAGCCAGCCGAGGTGGAGAGCTTGCTCGTTTCCTGCATACTGGATGAGTACGTAGACTCTGAATATACTTATATTGTACAATAACTCAATTACACTTTATAGCACCATCAAAGGACGCATCGATCAGGTAAATCAGGTGCTGCAGCTCGACAAGGTTAATAGCAGCGCAGCTCGATATAATGCGCTCGAAAAATGGTCCAATCAAATTCAATCACTGCAATTTGCTGTAGTACAGAAAATGGCTTAGACATAAAGCAATGATTAAAATCTAATCAAAATTCTGAAAAAATGTGAAATCAAATATCGTTTTCTTACTTACACATTGTCCCACGGAGTGAAACAATACCTATCAGTATGTTTATAAATATATATTTATAAATATAAATGCTAAGGGCTTTCAAGATAAAGCGGAGATAAGCGCTTAGTTAGTTCTATCATAAATAAGTACGGCCGATAAGCATTTGTATATTTCCATGACTCAAATGGGAAAATAACAAATATTCAAAATTCTTTCGTAAAACAGTTAATATGGGACCTCGGTAAAGTGCCGGATTTTGAATTGCTTCAATTGACAAGTATTTTTCCATTAATTTATCGAATATATTCTGATAAAGTTTATGTATAGTAGTTTATCAGAAATAGAGCTTCGTGTTATATGGTGTTCATAAATAGTTCCTTGAAATATATATATACAATGTAGATGTATGCAAACTTTGAGAAGCAATAATAAGAAACTAAATATGAACCAGTCGAAGGCAGATATTTTCATTCAAAAATGGAAAAAACGTTTATACTATATTTTAACAATTCAAAATCAAAAGTCAAAATGATAAGCCTGCATCGTTGAACTTACTCATATTCAAATACTAAAGCGCATAAAATATATAATTATAAGTCAATTTCGCTGTTAGCTAAGAGAAAAATACTTTACCAAGGGATAAATAAAGTAATGTTCAGTTTCGCAATATCGTAGATATAATTACATGTGACTAGCATAAATAGCATTTTTAATTATTTAAGCAACTTGAGCGCGAGCTGTGCCTGCTTCCCGTATTTCGATCGGTGCCGTTTTGCAGCAACGCTCACATATCCACAGTCTTAGTCTATAGATCCAAAAGACCACGACGCATAATATGATGCCTAAAACAAGACAGCCACAAACGCTGCCAATGGCCAAGCCCGGCTTCTCCCAGTCCAGAATGAAATAGATAAAACGATTACCAAAGCTGCAAACGCTTTCAAATTAGAATGAAATCAAAAAGGGAATCACGGGACTTACTAATCCGTTCCTCCTGCCCAGAAGTAAACCAGGGAGAACAGGCCATAGACGAGGCCCGCTGCCAGCGGATAGACAGAGTGCATCAGTCGCGTGGGAAAAGCCAAAACAAAGCAATCGAAGAGCATGCAAATGGAATTGAACGCATGCGCCCAAAGATTGTATAGACCAATGGGACCGTCAGACATACCTGAATAGATTTCGATTAATAGATTGTCTCAACATAATAAAAGCAAAATCTGCTCACTGGGATAGAGCGCTGTCCAGAAAACCAATGTTATTATCAGGGCCAAAACTGTGGTCATAAAATGCGAGCACCAGTATATCCTAAGAGCCCAGCTTCCAGCCTCTAAAATAACGATTATATATATATATGTATATGTAACTAGTTCTAGATGCAACTATGAGTGTGTGTGTGTGGGTTGACAGTGAATCGACAAAGCTAACATTTGACTAAGGTGTACACATTGCATGTGTGAATATTTAATATAATTTCTGGAACTATAAATCAGCTGACAGAACTAAAGAGTCTAAAGTATACAATGGGAGCAAAGCAATAATAAAATCTACTTCTCTTTTAATGTCAGCTAATATCAACATAAATAATTCTTTCTGCGAATTGCATTTTAAATTTTAATTGAATTTTTTTTTGTTTAAAGAAAATTATTTTGAAGAAAAACCAAGGAAATTTGAACACTTTAATGTTGTGAAAACTGAGAATTCGAGCATTTAAAGAAAATTTATAAATTATAGAGATTTTCTAAATACTTTGCTTAACAAGAGTTTAAACAGCTTTACTGAACACGAAATTCTGACTACATATTCTATATAAAAACAGAACTACAAATATTTATAGCAATTATTAAAAAAAAAAAATTAATTACATTTACTAATTAAATGACTTGTCTTGAAAATTTCATTGAAATTTAATTTAAAAATTAGCCATATTTTTAAACTGGTAATTTAAAAACGTTTGTATCTGAAACGTGATTAAAACTTGTTCGAGACTCTTCGCGCTTTCTAATATTCTGTACTTTTCAAACGTACTTCACAATTATGAAAAATGAGTAAGAAATGTAGAACACTTTTGCTTACCAAAATAGCTGGGCTTAATGAAGTATATGGTGGCCACAATGGCGCCATAGGTACAGGCATAGAAGCATAAGGAGAAACCCCAATCGGTCAGATAGATGAACCATGTGCCCTCATTGAATTGATCGATCAGACTGCAAATAACACCGGTCGCAAAGAAGGCGGCCAAGAGCCAACGATAGATCAGCCAGATGAAAGAGCGATCGCTGCGTTGCCATTGTGAGCGACAAAAGTCGGCGGGCTGATCGTGGTACAGTGAAAACTTGGCGCACTGAAATTCATCTACCAGTGACTGGCAGCAGCAAGATTTTTGGTTGGAGTCACGCATGACGCCGGCTGGATGGACTCGATGTCTGCGTAGCTGAACAAACGCTCCTAAAGCTGACCAAAACAGTTGGCTGGCACGTTGGTAGAACGTCAACTGTCGCAGCCAGGGCCAGAGTCGCGCCAATAGGCCTGATAATTTGTCATTATTTCCGCAAATCGTTGAAGCCAAATACCAGTTCGAGTAACACTCAGCTTATCAGCTGACGATTCTTATCGCTAGTTATGTATAACTGGAAAGTACTTGCAAAATATCTATCTATATATCGCTGATAACCTACAAAATAGCCGTTTAGCCGTTATTATTGATATTGGCCTACTAGTCTAACTAACTTGCACAACAGTCAGTGTGTGGCGCCGTGTCTGAAAGCCTAAATTTTTAAACAGTATATTGTGAATTTTTGCAGATGATTCATGGGAACAGCAAAATCAATATATATTCCATATATCAGAGAAATATAAAGCATAAAGTGATAATTTTTAATATACAAATAAATATGTAATCAATTCAAAATAAATTATTTATTAGATGGAATTGCTGCAGAATTTCTATGAGACTACTTTGGATGGACCAAATGGACCAACACGAAACTGGGCAAACTATACTTCGACCGCAGCGACCTTACCAAATTGCAAAAGATACTCAAGCAGTTGCATTCGAGCTGTCAGACAGACGATGGCGAGGACGATCTGAAAAAGGGCACTCAGCTGCTAGAAATTTATGCCTTGGAAATACAAATGTATACCGTACAGAAGAACAATAAGAAATTGAAAGCTCTCTACGAGCAATCGTTGCACATTAAATCGGCAATACCACATCCACTGATAATGGGCGTAATACGTGAATGCGGCGGTAAAATGCATTTGCGCGAAGGTGAATTCGAGAAGGCGCACACAGACTTCTTTGAAGCGTTTAAGAACTACGATGAGAGCGGATCGCCCAGACGCACAACCTGCTTGAAATATTTGGTGCTGGCTAATATGTGAGTGCTAATAAACATATAATTATAAATTTAATTTATAACTAATTAATTACTCTGTTGTCTGGCAGGTTAATGAAGTCTGGCATCAATCCATTTGACTCGCAAGAGGCCAAACCGTATAAGAACGATCCCGAAATATTGGCCATGACAAATTTGGTTAATTCATACCAAAACAATGACATCAACGAGTTTGAGACTATATTGCGTCAACATCGCAGCAACATTATGGCCGATCAGTTTATACGCGAGCATATTGAGGATTTGCTCCGCAACATACGCACCCAGGTGCTCATTAAACTGATCAGACCTTATAAAAATATAGCCATACCGTTCATAGCCAATGCACTCAACATTGAGCCAGCCGAGGTGGAGAGCTTGCTCGTTTCCTGCATACTGGATGAGTACGTAGACTCTGAATATACTTATATTGTACAATAACTCAATTACACTTTATAGCACCATCAAAGGACGCATCGATCAGGTAAATCAGGTGCTGCAGCTCGACAAGGTTAATAGCAGCGCAGCTCGATATAATGCGCTCGAAAAATGGTCCAATCAAATTCAATCACTGCAATTTGCTGTAGTACAGAAAATGGCTTAGACATAAAGCAATGATTAAAATCTAATCAAAATTCTGAAAAAATGTGAAATCAAATATCGTTTTCTTACTTACACATTGTCCCACGGAGTGAAACAATACCTATCAGTATGTTTATAAATATATATTTATAAATATAAATGCTAAGGGCTTTCAAGATAAAGCGGAGATAAGCGCTTAGTTAGTTCTATCATAAATAAGTACGGCCGATAAGCATTTGTATATTTCCATGACTCAAATGGGAAAATAACAAATATTCACAATTCTTTCGTAAAACAGTTAATATGGGACCTCGGTAAAGTGCCGGATTTTGAATTGCTTCAATTGACAAGTATTTTTCCATTAATTTATCGAATATATTCTGATAAAGTTTATGTATAGTAGTTTATCAGAAATAGAGCTTCGTGTTATATGGTGTTCATAAATAGTTCCTTGAAATATATATATACAATGTAGATGTATGCAAACTTTGAGAAGCAATAATAAGAAACTAAATATGAACCAGTCGAAGGCAGATATTTTCATTCAAAAATGGAAAAAACGTTTATACTATATTTTAACAATTCAAAATCAAAAGTCAAAATGATAAGCCTGCATCGTTGAACTTACTCATATTCAAATACTAAAGCGCATAAAATATATAATTATAAGTCAATTTCGCTGTTAGCTAAGAGAAAAATACTTTACCAAGGGATAAATAAAGTAATGTTCAGTTTCGCAATATCGTAGATATAATTACATGTGACTAGCATAAATAGCATTTTTAATTATTTAAGCAACTTGAGCGCGAGCTGTGCCTGCTTCCCGTATTTCGATCGGTGCCGTTTTGCAGCAACGCTCACATATCCACAGTCTTAGTCTATAGATCCAAAAGACCACGACGCATAATATGATGCCTAAAACAAGACAGCCACAAACGCTGCCAATGGCCAAGCCCGGCTTCTCCCAGTCCAGAATGAAATAGATAAAACGATTACCAAAGCTGCAAACGCTTTCAAATTAGAATGAAATCAAAAAGGGAATCACGGGACTTACTAATCCGTTCCTCCTGCCCAGAAGTAAACCAGGGAGAACAGGCCATAGACGAGGCCCGCTGCCAGCGGATAGACAGAGTGCATCAGTCGCGTGGGAAAAGCCAAAACAAAGCAGTCGAAGAGCATGCAAATGGAATTTAACGCATGCTCCCAAAAATTGTATAGACCACTGGGACCTTGAAACTTACCTAAATAGATTTCGATTAATAGATTGTGTCAACATAAAAAAGCAAAATCTGCTCACTGGGATAGAGCACTGTCCAGAAAACCAATGTTATTTTCAGGGCCAAAACTGTGGTCATAAAATGCGAGCACCAGTATATCCTAAGAGCCCAGCTTCCAGCCTCTAAAATAACGATCATATATATATGTAACAAGTTCTAGATGCAACTATGAAGCACAATTAGTGTGTGTGTGTGTGGGTTGACAGTGAATCGAAAAAGCTAAGATTTGACTAAGGTGTACACATTGCATATAATTTCTGGAACTGAAGAGTCTAAAGTATACAATGGGAGCAAAGCAATAATAAAATCTACTTCCCTTTTAATGTCAGCTAATATCAACATAAATAATTCTTTCTGCGAATTGCATTTTAAAATTTGATTGAATTTTTTTTTAAAGAAAATAATTTTTTTTGAAGAAAAACCAAGGAAATTTGTACACTTTAATGTTGTGAAAACTGAGAATTCGAGCACTTAAAGAAAATTTATAAATTCTAGAGATTTTCTAAATACTTTGCTTAAGAAGCTATACTGAAAACGAAATTCTGATTACATTACGAGACTCTTTGCACTTTCTAATATTCTGTACTTTTCCAACGTACTTTACAATTATGAAAAATGAGTAAGAAATGTAGAACACTTTTGCTTACCAAAATAGCTGGGCTTAATGAAGTATATGGTGGCCACAATGGCGCCATAGGTACAGGCATAGAAGCATAAGGAGAAACCCCAATCGGTCAGATAGATGAACCATGTGCCCTCATTAAAACGTTCGATCAGACTGCAAATAACACCGGCCGCAAAGAAGGCGGCCAAGAGCCAACGATAGATCAGCCAAATGAAAGAGCGATCGCTGCGTTGCCATTGTGAGCGACAAAAGTCGGCGGGCTGATCGTGGTACAGTGAAAGCTTGGCGCACTGAAATTCATCTGCCAGTGACTGGCAGCAGCAAGATTCTTGGTTGGAGTCACGCATGACGCCGGCTGGATGGACTCGATGTCGGCGCAGCTGAACAAACGCTCCTAAAGCTGACCAAAACAGTTGGCGGGCACGTTGGTAGAACGTCAACAGTCGCATCCAGGGCCAGAGTCGCGCCAATAGGCCTGATAATTTGTCATTATTTCCGCAAATCGTTGAAGCCAAATACCAGTTCGAGTAACACTCAGCTTATCAGCTGACGATTCTTATCGCTAGTTATGTATAACTGGAAAGTACTTGCAAAATATCTATGTATATATCTCTGAAAACCTATAAAATAGCCGTTTAACCGTTATTATTGATATTGGCCTACTAGTCTTACTAATTTGCACAACAGTCAGTGTGTGGCGCCGTGTCTGAAAGCCTAAATTTTTAAACAGTATATTGTGAATTTTTGCAGATGATTCATGGGAACAGCAAAATCAATAGTTTTTTAGACATAATTGATATAAAAAGAGTTCCCTATCAGAGCCAAAAGTAAATCCACGATTGCAATTACAATTTAAAAAAACTTTTCAGTAAAACAGTAATAGAATGTTGTGCAAACGTAATGTATCAAACGCATGACAATTGCTTTGACTTTGTTATCTGAGTAATACAATAACATAACACTTCCTAGAGCCCTCGAATCGTAGATAAGATGGCAACGCGGAACGCTCTGTTAGTCAAAGGCAACCAACTTACGATAATACTTTTGCAGTTCATTCATGACGAATATCTCTAAGCATTGCTTTGAGCTAAACGATAATTATTTACCTTTCTTCTTGATTAAAAAAGACAAGTACACAAAAAATTATTTATACATTGTTTATTATAATTTTCTTATGAAAAGAGCACGCCATATGATTTAAATTTAATCACAATTTATAACACTACAAAATAAATTATATAATTGAATGAACATAAAATATTAAATATATAATTTAAAAATGCATAGAAAAACATATAACAATAGGAAAAATTATTTTTAAGCAACTAAAAAAAAAACAAGTGACAAATTATATATTATATATTATATTATATATATTATATATTATATATACTAGTGTGATTTTTTAAATTTCATGTCTTGCATAAATAATGAAAAAAAATAATAAAAAACAAAAAATGTAGAATATTATTTAAAAAAAAAATTTTACCACTATAAAATATGTGTTTTTTTTAATATTTCTTATTTAAATAAAGAAATCAGTTTTTGAGTTTCGGATTAAATGTTTAAATATTTTTTTAAAAAAATCGTTATTTTCTATTAATAAAATTTTATTTTAAATAAGTTATGAAGAATAGACCAATATATATTTACACAGCAAAGCTGTTTAAGGCTATAATATTTCTAATAAAGATTGAAATTTATTAGAAGCTGTTCAGAATACTCCTAGCCGATTAGCATAATTGTAATAGGTTTCCCACTCAATCTTTCAACAATTTGTGACGCAAACCAAAAATGAAAATTGAAATTGAAACATTTTACCTCAATTCGATTGCAAAAGTCACGCAATGCAATCTTATTATTGAATAATATCAAATACAGTTTTTTATCGCGACAAATAGGAAACGGAATGTGAGCTTGGTTCGGTTCGGCTCGTTTCATTTCGGTTCGGACATTCAAATTATGTAAATAAATATGCAATATTACGAAAATTGCAGAAATCAGTGCTGTGAACAGTATAATAAATGAAGACACTTTCAGTTTCTACAGCAAAATATATCAATTTGAAAGTGTCTTAAAGTCAATGGCAAGGTCACCAGAGACACAATTGCAAACTTGTGTTTGTGATATCTGCCCTATTTACATATATGTACATATAGTTGTTGTACAAGTTTGGAATGTTCAACACAAAGCAATTTGTAATCGATGCTATGTTTATTAAACTGACCCTCAACTGATCAAATTACGTTTGCAAATTGAAATTTCAGACCAATCAACAAAAATGCTTAGTGTAATATTTGTTATTTACTGTAGAATGCAGACAAAAAATATATTAAAATGTTATTTAAAAATCTATAAGGTACATATATATCTGAAATTCCACTAAGAACGTACTTAAGAATCAACAAACTCGTTTCGTTATCTCATATTTCACATAGAACCAAAATTTAACATTAAATCAATAATTACCGTAAAAGAGAGGGGTTTTATATGCTTTCCCACCCAATTATCGCTTTGTTGATAAGCTAAATGTGGGTCAGACCTAAAAAAAAAAACAAATGAAAAAACTTGGTTCTTAAAAGCATTTTTGGAATTTGCAACTCCCATAGCTGTCATTTGCGCATACACATAATTGGGATAGCTCAGTGCTTTAATTGGCCGACCTCCAGGGCTCCAAGTTCAGCAAAGTCAGCAGCTGATGTTCGTATGATCTATACGGCATGATGACAAGCGACGCTGCTGTCAATAACATTGATATCATATCATTCGAAATTCTTCCCACAGCATCAAGTTTTTGGTTTTGACACTCACTGTATATATCTATATGTATATATAAATATATATATATGTTATTGTTATTGTTTTTGTGCATATTTCACATTAACGTTATGCTTTTAATTAAATTACTTAGTTAAATTTATTGCTATGCCCTGTACTTTGTATATTAAATTGCTATGCTGACTATATTACGGATATTTGTATATGTTTAACTAATTATTTATTTTTTTTTTTAACTAAAGTTTAAAATTATGTCATGTTTTTAATTTCATTTAAAAAATACAAAATGTATTTGTTTTTACAATTGTATAATAAGATCTTGCTTATAAATTATAAAATTGTATACTCGTTCACAAAGTGAGCAAAGTATATTGGTTTCCTGGAATCTCTGCCTGGCTGTCCATCCATCTTTTCATTTGTCTACTATTCTTTATAAACGACAGCATGTTGGAGACTGATACAGGAATATATACTCATTGGTATTCGCAATTAATAATGTTCTAGCACTGAGTGTGGACGTGTCAAAAGTAAATAGACTACTATATCTACATCTGGAACATTAAACTTAAGAGACTACTATATCTCCAAAATATGTGCGCTACAATCTATAAATCTAATAGGAATATATATCATATAAACTATTCTTTTTACGACAAATATTATAAATCTTTATTAAAATGTTTTCTGTATATATGTAAAGAATATTTATAATATAAAAACAATTTTGAATATAAAACATAATTAAATTATTTTTAAAAATAGCTATAAAATAATAAGTACAAAAAATTAGTTAAAATGTAATTGTTATTGCCATTAATTCATTAAAATATTATATGTTAAACGTGATCTCCACTTTAAGCTCCACTCAAAAGGGTATATGACAGTGATCAGTGATCAGGCAGGCTTTATTTCTTTTAACGAAAATTTGTATTTTTTTTGCTTGTGATATTAATTTTGTCGATCGGATGGCATACGGGCTTCGTATATAAAGAGTCGAAGCCTGCGCCAAGTGATGGGTCGTATTATTTGCAGTGAGCGGACGTTGCTAATCGTGGCGTCGGTTAGCGCGTTCGGCACAGTCACCAGTTAGAGGGTCTCTCAAAGGGTAAAAGCACTCCACTGCTTTCAGTCGAGTCTGTCTCGTCGTGTGCTGTGCACGAGTGCGCGTTCCCAGTGGAGTAGTTAGTGAACTGTCGAAAAGCGAATATATTATACCGACTCCGTCCAAGTCGCCGCATCGCATCGCGAATGATTTTCAAGATCACGCAAAGCGCAACATTGACTGAATCAGGCTGAAAGTTTCTTTCTTTCTGTTTACCACGCTGGCAAGTTGGTAGCCATCACAGTCAGTCGTTTAGCGATTATAATTAAAGAAATAAAATGCAATTTCTTAAAAGGTTCCGGAAGGGCCTCAACAATGAATTACAAAAACAAAATTTCGGCTTCGAATACAGCCACGTGCATCTATTTTATAAGTCTCTGGTGAGTTTAATAGGTAAACGGTCGTGCTATATGTCCAGGAAATTACCTGAAAGCCCTTTGCACTAGGCAACTTTGGCTTTTAGATGAGATCACTTGATTCCAGTCTCGTGTAATTTAGTATGTGCACATAGGTTCTATAAAAGCATTAAGTACAGCTTGTCGTCTACAAACGTGTGTAATGCCAGTAGCGTAGAGGCTAACGACCATTGCATGCACTTACTGCAGCTGTATTAACTATAAGTAATTAATTCATTTTGTTTAAGAGAATATTTACGTGTATCTTGCTTTCTTCTCTTTATATTTATGCAAAAATAATTTTTTATATTTATATATATATTTATTTATTTAATATTTATATTAATAATTAATATATATGTAAGTTTGTTATATAAGCATTTATTTTTATTTAATTCATATTCAATTAGTTATTAATAATTTTCTTATTAATATTTTATTAAAATAATGCAATATGCAATTTGATGTAAATTTATATATTTTTTATAAATGACCATTTTATTTTATATTTGCATTTTACCTTTTTTATTTTGTAATATATTGATTTTTAATTTCTTTTAAAATTTCTAAATTTATTTATTTAAAACAAAGGAATGGATTTAAATTCATTCGTATAATGAAACAATTAGTTATTTATTGTTTAATAATATTTTTTATTTTATATTATATAAACAATTTAATTATTTTTATATATTATTTATACAAATTTCTGATTATTTTTAACAATGCAAACACATTTTTTTGTTAATTTATGAGTAGCATATGCATTGACAAAGCTCTTTGCTGATTTACATAATGCTTAGCAGATGAAAAGAATATTTAAATAAGAATACGATAATACCCTAGATCAAACAGATCATACAAAAATGTTCAAATCCTATTACAAAGTCGTCACATGGCATAAACATTTAGCGGATGCGCTATTCTAGCACTTAAAGTAACGGCAACAGTACCTGTACCCGTAAAGTACATAAAAGGTAAATTCCGGAAATATCACACCATAATTTGTCACACTCATATGACTTATCGAAATTAGAGAAGGCGAAAATAGTGTTTAGCACATTTAATTTGGAGGCGGCACGAGCGAATGTATACATAAACACACGCACATGTATATATATATATATATATGTATATATAAATATATATATATATATATAAATATACATATATATATATAAATATATATTGATATTGGGGTCGCCTAATAGCACACGATCTTCCTGAAGTTCAAAGCAAATCAATTCTCATTGCGTAATCGAAAAGTTATGTTTTTTTTTCACCAAGCGAAAACGACAACAAACTTACTAACTAGACAAGCACGAGCCCGGCGGTTAGTACGTCATTAATGAGGTGAACAGTGAGATAACAGATAGCTAACAGCTGCAGGAATGTTAGCTCTGCTCTGCTACTGTCTCAAGCGGAATATTTATTTGCGAACAGACAGTTGCACTTGCTTAGTTAAATAAACAACTATTCTACATTGTGTAAAGGTCAGATAAGGTTGCCTACCTGCAGCAATATGATTATCTATGATTATATATAGCAATCAGTAAAATTGCGCATAACTATAATTTCTAGAGACATGTTAATCATATTAATTTGATTACCTTCTATCTATATTTGTGTACATATTTTTTTAAATTTCGGTACTCGATATTACGTCAGAGGTATGTATCCAATCAGTGCTATGTAATCATGAACTTTGATTTCGCATAGTTGCAAACTCATTGTTGATAATGGAATTTCGATAATAAAATACGAATGTAAATATTGTTGCTAAATACCTTATAAAGAATGACTTCCTACAAGCTAGATAGCAAATGTTAGAAATTTAATAAAATATTTAACTAAATTAAATTTACAGTAGACAAAAAGAACTTCTTCATTTGCCAATCAAATCAAAATTGAATAAGCTAAGATGGGCTTAAAGTTTACGACGAAAACTTATTTCCCATAAGTCAAATTTTAAAATAATCGACAAAAAATGACATGTTTATAAAATTAACATACACTAATATAAAAAAATATAAAATTTGAATAAAGTTTATAGTAAGATTATAATTGAGAAAAAAATTAAACAAATTTAAAAATTATAACAAAGATAACAAAAAATAAGATATAAGAAAAATGAATAAAATCTAATCAAAATTAAATTTAATTCTAATTAAGATTAAAGCATTTGATTTAACAATGAATTTGATGCATAATATAGTCTATTTAACCTCTAGCACCCACTGATCACTGAACTTTCTCTCTCTCTATCTCTGTCTCCGGCTTACTCACTCTGTCTATATTTTTCAGTGGCAAAAGAATGAAGTCAGCACAGTTTATTTACTTTATCGTTGGCTGTTGGCGCTAATATTTTTGGGCGTTTACATCACTTGCATTATTTTGCAATACTGTGATGGCAAGTTTTTTATCTACATGACCAACTGGGGCTTTGGTCTGATCACGATCACAATGATAGTTGCCGCGGTGAACGTCACACGCTGGCACTACGATCTACAGAATGTGAGGAGTCTGGTGCAGGAGGCGGGACAGAAGGCGCGCACCACATGTGGCCTGAAGATGTATTGGTGGCTGTATAATATATCATTATTGCTGGCACTGATCATATCCACAGTATACTGGATATTTCTTAATGGTCGGATGAGTGAGTTGGCGAATGCAATTCAAACATTAAACATAATACTTAATTATATTCTATTCTATTCTATGTGCGTAGACAAACCAACGCGATTTCCGGTCATCAGCATTGTGACACATGCCCTGAATACAGTTTGTATGCTGATCGATTTTCTAGTCGTTGCATTTCCGCTGCGTCTGTGGCATATGGTGCAGACGATGTGCATGGCCATTGCCTTCTTTCTGTTCACCCTCATCTATCACGTTTGCGGTGGCACCGACGAGTAAGTGTAGCCCGCACACTCAAGATTGGATTATCTATTTAATTGACTTGGTTTCCTTAACACAGATTCGGCAATCCCTACGTCTATCCCATACTGGACTGGAACAATCCCGTGCGCTGCTTGATCACCTTTGTCGGCATTTTCATAATGATCATCTGCTATTGGGTGATACTCTTTGGCGTCCACAAACTGAAGCAGGTCTTCAATCGGGCCTTCAGCATTGTCTGGACACCCCATGCCGTTGGCCTCATATGAGACCGACTTTATCCAGCACTGACTAAAAACAACAATACAACAAATCACAAAACTGCACTCAAGTAGTTATAGGTAGTACCGCCCGCATTTTGTCATTACTTCCATTTAGTTACACAACACACAGCACTCACACATACACACTGACATACACACACACTCACTTTCACGCACGCATACAATACCATTTATTTATATCAATTTGTAGCTGTACGCACTAAATTATTGTTATTTAGTAACTACTTGCTCTGCGATTAGTTTCTAAGTACGTTTCTCCAGGTTCCTTAATGTCAAGGCAATGATCAATGGCTTTGGCTATATATTTTTTAACTGTATAAACACTTGAATAAAGCTTCTTACTGTGGAATCCATAGTATAAAAATTTTGTTGAGAAAAAACCAAAACCAGTTTATAATTTAACTTTGATAAAATCGAACGATTTTTAAAATGTACTCCAAAAGAAATTATTTGAAATCTTTTGGTGGAAATAAAAAAATTATATTAAAATAATATAATACTAAAAACAAATTAACAAAAATATTTTTGTTAACAAAATTCTATTTTTAAAGTGACGATGACTTGAATAAAATTTTGAGAAAAATAATATTCATTGAAAAGAATATTTTGAGGTCTAAAAAAGAGAAATATTTTTGTGATTACAATGAACCCTATATTCATAAATTATTATAGACATATAAAAAATATAAATATAGCTTAGTAATATAGCTATATATAAATAAACAATTAAAAAATTCAAATATAAATAAATAAATAAAACAAATTAAAAAATATTATAAATAATAATATTTTAAAATCTAAAAAGAATATATTTATTTATAAATATAAAAATAAATATATAAATAAATTAGGTTATACAATACAATAAAAAGTAGATTGATATGTATATTATCATTTAATTTAAAAAATACTCACAAAGCATTTAAGAAATGTTAGTCAACAAGTTTGCCTAAAACAAAATATAAATAGAAATAGTACATAAATAATATAAAACAAAAAAACGTTACTTTTCTGTCTTTATTTAATTGTAATTTTTAAAAAGCAAACAAAAAAGGAACTAAAAATATCTTCAAGCCATCTTCAAGCCAAGTGAATCCAATGCGAAAAGTAGACATAGTTATTTCAATTCAATACAGAGGAAATTCAGATAACAAAATCAGCATAAATAATTATATTCTCGAACAGTCTAGTAAACATAATATGCTCAGTGTTAGAGTGAGGGTATAGGGGCCAATGACATATGCATAAATTGAGCCAACTAGCGAGACACAGTGCACACAGGTACACAGCCATGCACGCATACACAACCCTACACATATGTACACAGACATAAATCTTTGCTACTTTCGTTACACTCTGTTTTTTCGCACTCTCTCAAGGGTTTCATATTCGCTTACAAAGTGCTTCACTAAATCTTGTTGAATGCATATCGATTATATTTCCATGGCATCAAAGTGAATATCTAGAAATAAATATGAATCATGTTTGTATTATGTGTGGCCCACATAAGAAAGGCTGAGAGCAGTACTTTTCAAGTTGTATAGCTCCATCTAGCAAAATAATGTGTCATCATTTTCAATGATTGCCAAATTATTTGAGTTGAAATAATGCCCATTATGTTATACCGAACACCGACGAACAGAAACGAGTTCTTCCAAAAGCTTGCAAAAGAAAACAGAGAATGAATGCGGCTAAAGAAAATGAACAAACAAACAACCCAAAACTGTACAAAGTTAGTTAGAAAGAGGTTTGAGGTAGACGCGAATTGCTTTTATTCTGTTTACGGCGGTGGCCGAAACGTGAAAGAGAGATGAAAGACTAATTAGGTATGTTCCTCTCCCGAGAAATTACAAAAAACTGCAACGAATCTCGTTGCTAGGTACAGCTAAAAATCGTCGTCAGCTTTAATTGTTCAGCAGAAATACAAAGACAAAAATAGTACACTCAGCGAAACTGGTAACTAAACTGACAAGAACCCTTTGATCGAATTGCCATATGTACATTTGGGCACAGTTACCCAATTAATTTAAATAATGAATTTAAGCTGTTTTAAAGTTTTAACAATGAATTGAGTGAGTCGTTCGATGCAGTATGCAATGAACTAAAAATATTATAAATTTAAAGAGTTGACCTCCTATCGCCAACAATTAAATATTTACATCATGTTTATATTCAATCATCTGCATTTAAATACAAAATTTGTTATTTATATTTTATATGATATATGATTTAATTGTCGTGTACCCGAAACTCAACTAAACTCACCTGTGCTCAGTCGACGGCGCAGCAGCAACAGCAGCCAACATTTAACGATCATACGGTATACGTTATACGATATACGATATACGATATTATATTTAGATAAACAGTGTGCTGAAGCATAACAAATTGTGGCATATGTAAGAAACCAAATAAATTATTTATAAATGTATTAATTTTTAACTTAAAATAAAATAGAAAACATAGTTTCTTAATAGTTAGATATATAAATAAAAAAATAAACAAATTAATTAATAAATATAGAATTAATGAAGAAACAAATGTAGAGCTTACAGACTAAAAATTAATACATATAAATCTATGAAAATTTCAAAAATAATAATAAAAAACTTATTCTATAAATTTCTTATTCTTAATAGCGTTTATTTTTTTTTTTTTTAATTTAAATTGAGTATCAGGTAAATAAGTCTTGAATTTCTAATTTGAACACAACGACCACTTGTGCAACCACTGTGCAACGCGTCGCAACTTGCCCGCATCGTAGTTGGCCCAAACAAGTTGCGATCAGTTTTGGATCGAGCGTCGCGTCAATAAGTCGTGATTTGTGCGAGAGCGCTGAAGATCTGCCCGTTCCGGTTAGGTAGCACTACGATCTTGAAGAAGTTTGCTTAAGCCATAGTTTGTGTGCTGTGTTGAAGTCTTCGGTTCTCTGGGCAATGTGTGAGTGCTGTGCGCGCTGCTGTAATGCAAGTTTAAAATGCAATAAGCCAAATACAATAATGTCTAGAGCCAGACACCGTTATGCAAAGTTGTTGACCTAAAAAGAAATTACTACAATGCGTCGGGCTGGCAGTTAGGCTGCCAAGCCACGCGTGTAAAAACACGCAAAATACACCACAAACTCGTTAACAAAAACCAAAATAAAAACAAAACGCTAAAAATAATAATAAAAATAATAATAATACGAAAAATAACGAACAAATTCGCACAACTCCAAGCCAACGTTATTGTTACAGCGCGCTTAGCCCATTTCGAATTACGCTGGCTTCATTCTTTTTGGCAACGTGTGTGGAATACTCAATGCTTGGGGTTTTTTCTCCATTTGTTGTTTTATTTTCTTTACTGTTTTTGCCAAATAGTGTTGCCCAAATTTGACAGATCGCTCGTACAAATAATAATAATGATCATTGGAGCTAAGCAAATAGAATTCAAGTGCTTGAATAAATTTAAAAAAGATTTGAGTTTTAGCAGTGTTTTTGCCTAGTGCATTTGGAAGCTCAAATATTTGTCTATTTAGAAAGATCTCAACCAAATACATCTATATATATACATGTATAAATCTCTATATATATATATATATATATATATATATATATATATATATATATATGTATGCATGTACTTGATCCAAGTATCGCATTTTAATTGGCTCATTTATAGGCACGTACTCAAAATTTATTCACGTTTCCCAGTTATCATTAATGAGTGACATTTTTTTTTGTTTTTTGCTTTACCATATCGAATTTATAGCCTACTAAAAGAATAATTATATAATAAAAATATATCAAAATATTGACTGACATGTTCAATCAATCAATACCTCTTCACACACATTGAAATGATTTTTTTACACATTTAACTTAAATCGAAGGTAAGCCAAGAATTGTGTACAAATTAAGAGTATTTAAAATTAATGAATGTTTAAATATTTAAGAAAATATATATATATAAATTTTAACAAATGATAATAGCTCATTTCGAGTTATTAAAGGAAAGTTTTTAACTTTTTAACAATTTAAATAACTTAAAAATCAATAATAATTGCCAAAAGTATATAAATGATAGCTTTTCAACAGACTTCGTATATGGTTTTAAAATATATGTTTTGTAAACTTAAAAATGCTTTTAGTATTTCTTTTAAAAAACATAATTTTAAAAATTACATTTAAATATTTATTTGATAAACTTCAACCTTAAGTTATTTTTTATTATTGATTTGTAAATTAATATTTGAATTTAATTTGACTAAATATTTTAATTTTATATACAAATAATAAAATTAAAATGAGAATTAACAATAAATTAAACTCAATTATTAAATCATTTTGCTGACGATCTGTAATTTATACTAAATATATATATACTAAGTTTTAGAAAAATATCAAGACTTATATACTTAAACTTGAGTATTTTTTTATAAGATTGAATGTGTATTTATACTGGTTGACAAACCAGAATTAAGTAACAACAGAAAGGCCTGTCATCTTTTAACTAAATAAATGTGTACTTAAAAATATGTGGCCCTTGTAGCATTTAGATAAATTTGTACAAATTCTCATTTAGAAACAGCTTTTAAAAATATTTATTAGTCAATGAATTAAGGTCTAACATAACCCACATTCATAATATGCCATTTTATGTAATTTTAATGTGAATGGGGTATAAAAATATGGAATATATTCTTGAGATAATTGTTAGCAAGGCTGCACTCAATGCCTATTGAAAAGTCCGGATTGCCTAAACAAATGACTTATATACATAAATAATTCTAATCAGCTAATTCACACCGATAATAATGCAGACAAACGATTTTAGTCAATAGACCAATTAGCGTCAAGCTGTCAAATAAAGCTCAAGAATGTTAACAATAAGTTTGGCAAAAAGCAAATACAACACAGCAAGTATATGCAAATGGATATAGTATAGCAAGTCTACACTTTGGCTTTTTATAGTTTTTTTTTTTGATATTTGCATTCGAAATGGCGTTGAACTCTTTTGATTTCACTTTCCATGCGCTGAGTTTTGAAATTAAAATAATATAAGTTTTAGTTAAATTGGATTGTGTTAAATAAGTCACATGCGCAGCTGGAGAGTGGGATCTTGAGATCGTTTGGCAATTATATTTATCTTATCTGTGGACTCTCTTATCTTTACCTTTTGCGCTACATTCACATACAGACATGAGTTGGCTTTGACTGTAAAGGTCAACAAGTTTTCATATGCTTCAAAATTTGGCTACAAGTTTTTCAACTACAAGAATCGCGGTTCAATGTGGTACACATGCAAGAGCTATAAACCTAAATAGTATATATATATATATAGTATAGTATATATATATATACATATATACGTATATATGTTTATAGTTGTGTACACCCTTTATGTGCTTTGCACACACTTATCTTGTGCTCTTTTGTAGTGACGAAAAGGTAGCACACAAGTGAATAAAGTGAAATACACAAAAACTAAACGATATATGTGTGTGCACCTGGTAACCATGGCTAGTTGGTAAGCTGTTAAATAGTTGGTTTGTTGAGACCCCTCCTACTCTATAAGACGTGTTTCTTGAGTCTCTCGAAGTTCGTTTTTCGTTGGCATTCGTGCAAGTTCAGGGCCGTGAGTGTAGTACCTCATTAAATGTTTTATTATTTCTGTTTTGCTTTTGCTGTTTTTTTTCTCGATGTCATTTTGAAAACAGACTTGAAATTAGATACAAAGTTTTGTAACTCAGTAACAGCTGATAAATATTTGTTGCTTTTTTTTTTTTGTATTTTCTCTTCTTTTTGCATTTGTTTAACACAAGTTTTTTTGCGTAATTTCAAACGAAGTTCGATTGGAAAGAGGAAGTTTGTGTCATTTTTAATAAAACAGCTGTCAAAAATAATATATTTATAATTATGAATCGATTTGATGACAATTTTTATAATAGAACAATTTTGCACGGCTTAAATGTGTTCCAAGAGAAAATGTCCGAATTGGAAATATCTTTTGTCCAGCGACAAACTAATACTATAAAATACATCAGCCATTCTAGAGTCGGCTTTGGATAATACAAATTTTTAAAATAAAAAATAGATATTTAAAAATTATATAAATATTCAACAAATATTTTGGCGTAAAAATAGAAATTCAGTTTATCTAAATAACATTTCTTAAATTTATTTTAAATTGGAATTTGTGTGTATATAAATTGTAACTTGGATGGTATACCGGTTTACACAACTGTTCCAATTTATGATTTATTACCTTTTTGGAAGCGTATTTTATTTCTACTATAATTAAGCTGGCCATTATATGATCACAGCTGAAACAAAGTCTTCAACATGTGAAACTCTGTGACCTGGCACTTCAAAACAAACAGCTTTCAACTGTTTTATGAATTACCTAACGCTCGGTTGACCTACAGTATGAGCTTTTAATGGTTTTGTTGTAGTTTATATATACATATGTTCACCTTGTGCTTTGTTATTTTTCTTTTTACGGCGCCCTTTTTGGACCGAACAGTGCCGACCTTAGCTAGTTAATTGTTTTATTATAATGAAGTCGTAATTATAATAAAAAATATGTATGTATATACGCCAATTATAAAAGATTATAATTGTGCATAAAGAATATTCGAGTGCTGTGAATCATTGCAGCTCAATATGAAAAGTCATTTATTTAATCATTATCATTGAGCTTAAAAACGATGGATGCGACCGAAACCGGGAAGGGCACAGATATATAAATACTCGAGTGTGCAGTACTAAAACGTTCAAAGATTCCCAGTATGAAACCCATTTAAGGTGTTAATTACCAGGTAAAGAGCAAGCAACAATTTGTTGGCGTCAAGGTCAGACATAGATGTGCGTATGACATCGCTGGCTTTAGAAGATGAATGGTAAGAAACAACGTAGAATTTAGACCGATGATACATCGATATGATTCGAAACTGAATTACACGAAATATTTTTATTGGTTACCAACTAAATCGCAATTTCGAATATCTAAACTAATAATATGAAGCAATAAACACTTCAAACACATATTAAATATAAACATTAATCCTGCCCCCCAGATTCCGCATCGATTTTGTATGCTGAATACTTGCAATCTTCATATAATACCTCTCTAGTCTCGTGATGATCCGCTTTGCCCAACGTCTGAGAGCGGCCATAAATCTTGATATAGTTTTTATCGTTGTCATGAACCATTATGCCACCACCCAAGCACTGAGTGCATAGATCAAACTTATTGGCCTCCTTTTGTAACTGATCATAGACGTCGACTAAAAGGCAGTTGCAAATGATATTAGGGTTTCATATCATTGTTTTAGACAATGCGACACTCACGATGATACTTGACCCGAGAAACACCACGAACTACGGTTTTTGATTGCCCCATCTCGCCGTGTATGTACACCTTGGCGAGAATATATTTCAGTTTGCCTTCGCCAATGGCCACTTCAGGAAACGCCACTAGATTCTTAACCTTTGCCTCACAACTCGTACGTGCGACTTTTTGACCGAGTTTTAAAAACACAATTCAAAGCGGTGAATTAAACACATCGAACAGAATACTTCACCTGTTATCATTGGACGCCACGTTGTCAAAAGCAACTTCCTAACCTTATCCATATTAATTTAAATCAAAAACAATTTGGAACAAACTGAAAAACGAAAAATTACGGTTGTGGAAAAACGCTTAGAGATGTGGACGACGTAAAAAATTAGCTATGACTGGCAAACTAGGTGAAAACTAGAAGACACTAGGACTTTGACTACTCAGTTGTTGAAATTTTTGTGAAACATATATCTGAATAGAATTATTCCTGATTTCGGAGAATAATTCTGTAAGATATATATAAATTATAAATATACCAAATATTTATCATATTTTTTTTTTAAATATTTATTTCCTTATATACTCATAAAAAGAATGTAAAACTATGCTTGCGCCTATTTTCCCAAAATGTAATAAAAAACGAATTTTTTAATTAGTGGAGACTGAGCTTTTGCATAACCGCAGATTTCGAATCCTACTTAGGCAGTGCATAACTCTAAGTACATAGTAAGGTATTCTCCTAGTCGAGCACTCCCAACGAAAACATTATTATAGGATTTCAACTGTACCTGACCCATGTTGCTATTGTTTTACAGCTAATATATTAGCAAACAATTTTAATAAAAAAATTATTTTCAGTATAAAAATATAAACAAGCAGCGTTAAAGAAAGCATTTCAATATTTGATTTATTGTCAAAGATAATTTATAAATTTTCTTTACAGAGCCAGAGATGCCTTTGAGAGTGATTTGTGAAAGATATAGATTTAGGTATTTCAATATTGTATTGTATTGTATATTGTATAATGTTATATAAAGTTTCACTTTATCAAACTTGCCTTAAGTTCGTGCTACACACTTGGTCTTAAAGTCTAATCATTTGTAATAATGGCAATCGGCTTTAAGTTCGTCATATTCATAAGCATTTGCTGATAACGTATTTTCTTTCATCCACAGTACACGGCTTCGACTCAGCTATACAATTATTAATAGCGGCTAGAACTATGATAATAATTTGCTTGGCGCACAACAGTTGCATGTCCCGGCCCCACTATTAAAATTACGAAAAAACAAACAACAAAATCTCCAAAGATTAAACTACAATTAAAAAAGTTAGCCAAGTGTATTTGAAGGCCAGCAGAATGACGAAGCTTCAGGTGATTGTGCATCCAGTGAAAAAGGAATTTAGACGCAAGCACTGTGGCTTCGATCATGATACGCCCGATGATTTTGTCAAATCGCAGGTAAGGCTTAAACTAAATATAGCCCGTATAAATAAATACAAATGTAAGCGTATATGTATTTATACTGAATGCGTCCTTGTGGGCTCTCCTTCAATTGACACGCACTGGGTGCGTAATATTTGTATTATTTATATAGGTACATAAAGTTATCGACGGGGGTCAATGTACATGCTCAGTTTAAACTGTCTTGCTCCGGCCGTAAGTATGTGCCCGAGGTCAAAAAGTAAAAGATAAAGAAAACAATATTGAATGAGACTTGTAATGAAATAAGTTCAATGAGAAATTAGGCTTAGAAAAGATTTTGAATAGATATCTATTATGATATATTTATATAGATGACATTGTCTATTGTGATTAATTTTTTTTAATTTTTATAAATTATATATATTTAATTATTTTAGATAATTATTATTATTATTTTTATAGAAATCTGTAAAATGCATTATTTATAAAATATATCTGAAACTAGCTCAAATTTTTCTTTAATTTATAATACGCATTATTCCAACTTCTAATATATAAAAATATATGTATTTTTATGTATATTATCTCTGGTTAATACATTTTTTAGTATTCTCGATGTTAGTCATATATTAATACAGGGCATTTTGTGCTATAGAAAGGCTAGTACTAACTATAATATCATCTATTGATCGACTTACGTTGCCCCGAACAAATTGTCTCTATATAATTTTCTTTGTATAATCAAAAGACCAAAACTGTAAGAAATGGGCGTTGCCCAGTGACTGGTTTCAACCATTTTATTGTTTTACCTTGAGCATATTTGATGAGGTTCTTTCATTCATAGTATCAATAGAATGGGTCGGCAGTTGAGTTGAGGGTGGTATTCGGACGCCCGCTTCTACTCGCATTGTAAATTAAACTTTTGAAATATTCATAAGAGGCAAAACAGGCAGAACTAACTGTATATTGCCATGCATCGTTTGTGGTGCCAGGTACAACAAAATGGCTCATTGAATCACCTAAAGCTAAGCTCTAGCCCATATATATATATATATATATATTTAGTTACAACAAATATAGTCGTTCGACTTAATATTCATACTTAGTTATTCTAAATTACAGTGGCAAACCTGCACAAAGAGTATGGCATATTTGTTCTATCGCTGGTTCATGGCTCTCTTCTTTATCGCCGTTGTCATTAAGTCCATGTGGCCGCGATCCGATGACGAGTCCTGCTACTGGCTATACTTCATCTATATGACCAATTGGGGCATATGGATGTGCATGCTAACCAATTTACTGGGCGCCATACTCGTTACCATTTGGCATCATCATCCGGAGTATGCGGGTAAGTGAAGCAGCGCTGCAGTGAAGCATCTTGTTTAACAATCTGCAACATGACTTTTTCGCTTCAGATAAGCTGCTCAATATGAAGGCTTGGACGAGCCCTTTTCGAATTTATTGGAGCATGCACATTATAACGCTAGTCTTATCGATTGTCATTACGATTATTTACTGGACCATACTCTATGATGGTAACTAAGTACCTTTCTAGTTGCTGTTAGATGAACCTTTCTAAAATGAAACATTTTTATGTTTTCTCTACAACTATTTCAGCCAATGAAAGTAATTTAGATGCCACCAATGTGCTCACCCATGCATTCAACTCCATTTGCATGTTCATTGATCTGTGGATTGTGGCACATCCGTTGCGATTGTTGCACGTGTTTCTGCCCGTCTTATTTGGCATTATCTATGCCATATTCTCCTACATATATCATCTGTGCGGCGGTATTAACAAGTGAGGAAATATTACACGATTGCAAAAATAATTTTCACATAATTCACATTTGCCATTCCATTTTCATACAGAAAGGGAAAGCCCTACATCTACCATGTGATTGATTGGAATCAACCCCATGCTGCTCTTGTGACTGTCTTGTGTGTCTTGGTGCTCTCTTGTTGCATATATGCGTTGCTCTTTGTTTTCTTCAAGCTGCGTCTGTATCTCTCCCGCAGCTGTCGTCAGGGCAGCTTTGTATTGCCCACAACAAGCGGGAAGTCTGGCAAGGCCAACGACAGTCAGGCAACAGCGAATGGCATACAGCATTCGCCCTCTCACATCTCCATGGTGCTGGGCAACTACGCCGGCTACGAGAACCGGGCGTACTCGCCCAGTGCGGGCGAGGCAAAGAAAACAAAGAGTTAGACTACGCTTAGTGACTGCCAGGTTATGAGAGTTAGCAGAAATTCACTCAATGCTGTTAAAGGTATATAAAACCTAAGTCTACTCCACATATATCTGGCAATCTAATCTAAGCTCATTGTTCTTACGACTTTAGTCAAACTGTACAGTAGAATTTTAACCCAGTGATATTATATTAAATTGTAGCTAATTTTACGCAAATAAATTTTAATGTGAATAAATCTAGAAAATTTAATTAGTTATGAGCATCGTTAAATATGGTAAGCATATGAAATTCTAGCTTATTTTCAAAATGTTGTCCTTGATTCCCTTGTCTTTCTCCCTGCTGTCCTTGACCCATTTGACTCATGCTCCTGCCGCACTAGATTCCCTTTTTATGAGCTTTCGAAAACTATATATCCTTGATAGTTCACCAGCTGTCCTTAGCCGGATCAACATTTACATACAACGGAAAGAAGCCAAAATATGCATTAAAAATTCCATAAAATAATCAACGTGGTTAAGTCTTTAGAGACCTATTGTGTCGCATTGTCATATTGCTTGGGAACTTTACAGTTGATTATCAAATATTAATGCACAGGGCCATATTGTGAAAAGGTTAAATGGTAGGCGGCAAAGGCAAAAGTTTGTCTGCACCTAAAAATGTTGAAAAGCAGAAGGAAAACCATGGAAAACCAGTTGAGTAATTGGCTGAAGGATTTCGTTGGCGACAGCCAAAGTGTTGAACGTTGGTTAATAAACCGCGTAGACACTGAGCACTGGGTGAGAACCTGTGTAAATATTTTACACAAAGTCCTAATCACATTTGAATGGCTGCATTAGCCCCAATAATCTTGAACGAGTAATCAATCACAAGGCCAACACGTTCTCAATTCCGACTACACTATAAATAGCACAATTTGTATATATAATTTGTATAATTATCAGACAAGACATAATAAGCATCATTAAATCCCTGAAAGTGAACTCTAAGCGAGTATAATTAAATTAAATTAAATTCCTTGAGTTAACATAAATAATATATTATATATCCAGATAATTATATTAAATATGATTTATTATATAAAATATAAATATATATGTTTAATATAAGAAAAATATATATTTTATATGAAAAAAATATAATACATATATAATATAATAAGAAAAAAACATTTATTAATTATATTTAAATATAATAATATATTAAAGATTATAAATATATTATAATATTTTAGATGACTTAAATTATTTTGAATTATTATTTTTATTATTTAAATATATTATTTAAGCATGAACATAGAAAAGGCCTTCAAACGCTGTCAAATGGACTGCGGGAGAGCATCGAGTTTAGGGATATGCGTAAAAAGTCTAGAGTTTTGCATTTAAACCACACTTAGTTATCAGTTCAGCACAGATAGCTGTAGCTCACTCCTACGACTGCAGCATAGATCTCGGCTCTCATACAAGCATAATTAACATAATTTCACTTTTTATGGAGGTCTTTAAAGTGGCCTTAGTTGAATATTAAATGATTAATTATTTGAGTTAAAAACATTACAAAAGTCTAACAATATTTTTTCAGGAAGTTTTTTCATGGAATCCTATTAACTTTCACTCCAGTGTGACTTTATGTGCAAATTGTATCATATTTATCTAAAGCCAATAATATTTAGATTAGTAACAAGATACGTCTCATGGCTGTCAAACTAAAGGAAATCCCCTCAAAAATAAAAGAACTTTTGTTTGAATCATTTAACTTTTTGAGTATCTTTTATGTGACCTTTTTAAATACATGCACACACACACACACACGCACACCCAAATAGACAGTGTCCTTAATCACAGCTGCCCGTTTATGCAGTCGTGTCCAAGTCCACCTCCCCTCGACTAGAAATGTAATTGGGGAATCAATTGGCCCAGCTAGACGGGCTACATTCGGCTGTAATTTGTTGTTGGCGTTGTTGTTATAACAATTCTTTATGCCGGCTATAACGTTAATTAAGTTCCCAAAAGCATTTAATAACCAAACGCCCAAACCGAAGCTCAAGGACGAGAAACACACACGTGCTGCTCCTTGGGGCACCGAACGCTGGCGATGACACTGCCCTGCAGTGTTGTGTCTGTTGGTCAATTGTCGCATATGCTACACATTTGAGGACCAACTAATCAAAAAAAAAAAAAAAAAACCAATGAGAATGTGGTCAAGAATGCACGACTTAGAAATACCCTGAACACAGTGGTTAGCTGCTAGAAAACGATTATTAAATATTTGTATAACATAATATTAATATTAAAACTATTTAAAGTCTATGCTCTAAAAGTCTAGTCTCAATATTATCTGCTTGACTTGATATATCGAAGAAATATTTAAGCCTTTTGTGTTCAAGTCATGTAGCATATATATATATATATATATTAATATTAATCCCGCCAATATAACATGTTTATCAATTTCAAAGGCTGTAGACTATAGAAAACGGAGAAACCAGACCTGAGTGCCCTGTATATAGTCGTCTACATTTGTAATCTTGTGTGTGTGTGAGCTAATCTCATTTATAGGTATTGTCCTTGCCGACGGGTCGACGAGCCGACTGGCCGGCGGTACGGCGTGGCATGTCACAAGTTTCAGTGTTAGACACAAATTAGGCGTCGCATCTGTTTAGGACTTGGATCGATATGTGAGCATTTTGATCGATATGAAATTTCCTTGAGCTTTGAACTTCTTTTCATGTCCTTGTCCTGCCTATTGACCCGCGCTTTGTTTTGTCTCTCTCTCTTCCAGCAGCGCCCCCATTTTCTCTTCCCTCCTCGAACTCACACTCTCATAATTATTACAAACAAAATCAATAGCAGTTTAAGTGAATATACTTTGGAAATTTCGACAGCTGTCAACTGTCAATGTCAGCTCAACGATTCCATATTTCGTTCTCACCTTAAACCAACAATATAATTAAATGCAATCAATACTGTAAAATATTAATTGAATATCTGTCTTCTCCAACCAACCCATCCATCCATCCAAACAGCCATCCACTCAGCCAATTGGCCACCCGTACTTGATTTAGCAATTTAGATTTGTGGTTCCGTCATGATTGTGCAATTTCATAGATATCAAAAAACCCATTCAAGCCATACAAAACTAATCACATACGAGCATGAATGTTTTAACGCATGAAATGTGAAATATTTTGAGTACAACTCAGGACACTTAAAGAGGTTTGAAGAGAATGAAATGTAGACATATATATTATATATAGTTGTTATATTTAATAACATTTTGTGTAGGATTGAGAGTAAAAAAAAAACACATTTGATAAAAAACAAATATATAATAAGATATATAAATATTTAAAATTGAACAGTGTGTTTTTTAGAGCTTCCCAACTTGGAGTTTGCCATGGTGTTTGAATTAACAAGATATTTAATAGTTTATACATATTTTTTGTTGAGTTTGGCTTGACATTTCTTTCTCGATAGACTTACACCAGAACAAAATTGTCTGTTTTGGTGCTTGTTTTACTGTTTGGTGTGTTGGGCTGGCAGAGTCACTGGTCACGTTTGCGATTATTGTCAAAACTTGTGCTCCAGATTGCGCCCTATATTTAAGAATTAATATCACAATATTTTCTATTAAATAAAGCCCACTCCTTAGATATTAAGAAAATATTTCTATGTTTTATTATGATTTAAACTTGTCGAACTCAAAAAAAAGCACCCGGTATATCATAAGAACTTGAATATGAAATTCATATATGTTTCCGTAAGATAAGGAATCATTTTAAATATATTATATATATTTTACAAAATTTTTAGAAATTTAATTGGAATGTAGAATTATTTATTTGTATAAAAATTCTAAAACAAACCAATATATTGACAATATTTATAATACTAAAACTGCACAGTAAGATATAGTTCTATTCGTGTGATCTGAGGTGTAAACTACTAAGCACCTGCAAGTCTGGGGATTTATTTACACCGAATAAGACAACAACAATCAAGGATGTCGACAGGATGGCAGCAACGCAACAATATGACACGGAAATGACACCTCAAACAAAAGAGTCAAGAGATAGAGAGAAGGAGAGAGGAGCAGATAGAAAGAGATAGCGCAAGTGCTTGAAAGATTAGTGAGAACGAACGCAGGCTGGGCAGGATATTGTTTGGATTGCATAAACAAACGGCATGGGCACACACGTTGTTTGGCTTTTGGAGCAACAACTTTCCAGTGCTGTGCAGCCGGTTCGTACCTGCCCACACACAGGCGCGCACTCACACACACACACATACTAGTTAACATTTGTGAATCATGTGGACGACTGGAATTCATAAAGTATTCATTAATTGGAAACGCGCGCGCCCTGCCTTTGAGTGACCAATTGCCGAGGATTGCGGTTGGTAAAAACCGAAGCATTTCTCATATTTCAAATTCAGTCTTGTTTCGGACGTTCGGGCAGTAGAACCTGCATAAATTACCAGCCAACCACCGTACCGTGATACCGCAAGCCCAGTCACCAAATCAGAGACACACGCTTCATAAATTGTAGGGGCTATGGTAACGGGGCCACCAAAAACCCAGCTAGAACCGGCGCTATGTGGCAAATAATTTTCACTGTGCGTGTTGCCAACGATAAACGCTAACGTGTCGCCCAGAGATACCAAACAGCGGAAGCACATACAACAACAAATAGCAATAAATATATTATACAAATCACAAAAAAAAAACCAAAAAATTATTAGAGAATAGAAAAACAAATCATAAAAAAGTATTCGGCAAGTGTATAATGTATATAGCGAGTGCATGTATTTGAAACGCTAGTGGAAAGTTCCATTTGATTTGATTTTTTTTATATTTTGATTTATTGTTTAGCCCGCCCACTATTTGAACTAAATCCCCATCTACACATGCGTTAATTGAGTAGCAGGCGTGGTGAAACGGGCAAAAGCATTGCGAAAATTCTGCTATACTGGCCACCGAATGGATAATGGGTATTTGTTTAGACACAGGTAAGCAAAACATTGCCAGCTACAACGATTTTACTATTCGGCCAACAACACAGCCGGCCAAAAAGCAACAGTCAAAACACAAACAAAGCCCAAAATATACCATAAACTCTGGTTACAGCCAAATTGTAAGCCAAGCGAGAGCTGTTGCCATATTTCAATTTAACAAAAGAAA